ATGCAGTGGAACCGTTGGGACACCAGAGGGAGAGCGTTGCCTTCTCTTTGAAGGATCTCATCATCGTGGCCCGACGGTCTTGAAGGTATGATGCGTTTCAGACATGCAGAGTAGTTCAATTCTGCCTCAGAATGGTGGGTTTTGTTTGACTTTACCATGTTGTTAACTTGCTAGGTCAAATGTCAGTGGCCCACTTGCTGCACTTGACTTCAAGTCAACACCACACAACCGCAGTGAGAATATACAGAACAGGTAATTAGCCAATTCATAGCATCATAAAGTCATACATATACGGAATTGTCCCCCACAACACAAAAAGCTCCATAGAGGTGAACTTCAGTGGAAGCAGTGGTTAGTGAACGCCCTCTTTTTACAGGGCTCATATTTGCATGTTCATGCCACTGACTTAGCATCGCACACATTTCAGTGTGTGGACCCACTAGGATGAGATGTTCCACACGGCGCTCAAAGGCTTCACCTGTGATATTAACAATAGAATTATGAAACAATTACCGTCATCTTTCAGCTGAAACTCAATTTCTCCGCTTCCGTCGCGGCTGTAATGTGATCTAATTGTACTTAAACGGACATGTTTACAGGGAGGCTTTAATGGTTCCACTGCTGATGGTTTCACGTATCCTTCATCATTACTGTAAAATTCACTTGGCTGCATCACGGAGCAGAAAAGCTCTGTGGGGTTTTATTCTCCGCCATGGTTCGTACACGCAGTTTCCCATTACAGAGCCATTAACCCTACAGTACTGAGCCTACTTTGTGATGAACCAAGTGTTTTAGTTGACATTTGAGACCAAAAGCTCAAATGAGTTTTGTGTTGTAGAAGAGCAGTTTTCTTCTTTCCATTTTGGTTATGAAGTTTAAAATGAACAATCTGATTTAAGTGGTATTCCAAACAATTCCATTGTTTAGGTAATTTAAGTGTCAGAAAAGGATGAAAGCTTTTCCTTCTGGAACTACCATCTTTCAGAACATTCTTCCTGCCAAAGCCTTTTAAAATGAAAGCCTGCTTTTTCTAACACAGCATTAAAACAACAACAACAATGTAATATTTCACTCTATTTGACCAGCATTGGACCGATCAATCAGCAGAGCCATCCCTTGAACAAGGCCCCTGTCAGATGTACACAGAGGAGTGGAGGGGGGACGAGGAATAACGGTGACAGAGAGAAAATAAATAGAAATGGTGGATGAGGGAAGTGATTGAAAAGAGCAATAAAGAAAGGGAGGCAGAGAGAGCATGGGCCTTCTTCTAGAGCTGCGGATGGAAATAGAGAGACTGAAAGGATGGAGGGGAACATAAAACCGATTATAGGAAATAACAGCGTAAGAGCGTAAACAGGAGTCATGTCACTGTTTACAGCTGGCAGATGCTCAGACTGCAGGGGGGGGGGGATGCACGCTCAGTATCAATGCCGTTTCTGTCCAAACCACAACTATTTGTCTAAATGCACAGATTACATTTGTGTAAGATGTATAAATAAGTTACAAACCATGTCTCCCATTGATGCGTGAAGTCTGGAGAAGACAATAGATTAGGTTGATTTCTGATTCAACAGAAATTGGTCTTCAGTGTGATGCTGAAATACCGTAGGATATCCCACAGATGGCAGCAACGCTTTTTTTAAAACAGTTTTCTTCGGGGGGGGGCAGTATTCAGCCATACGTATTCCGCCTTACAGTTTCAACAGGATAAATGCAGAACTCATTTTCAGCGATTTATTTTTTAAATCCATCACTTACCTACCTACTTATCTAGGTTAAGATATCTATCCATCTTTCTATGTTTTTTATTTATCTATCTTCTATTGCTCGATCAATCTATCTATCAAAAAAATGTTTTCACCATGTCCTCTATTACCGTTCAGTGAAAAAGATGCACGTAGATGAAATGAAGCCATGTCTTGATACCATCAGGCTAAAAGAGAACAATGCTGTCTCTGAATTATATTTATAATCCCTCCTTCTTTGCTCCTTCACATCATCAACATCTCAATGTTGAGTTGCTACTCCCCCTGTGATTCAGTAGGCACGTGGCCCGGCACGACTCGGACACCTTTACTACTCTGGCTGGAGTTCAAACGTCAGTAAATCTCTTATTATAAAAGGCGGTCGTAAACACCTAATGGTGTCTCATGAATATTTTAGAGCCCTAAATATCATATGGAAATGACCTCGAGAGAACCAGAACCTTAACAAGGCACATTTCAGAGCGATAACCTCCACGTCCGGAGCAACTCCAGGCGCCTTTTTACGGTTCTTTCGTCATTTTGCTTGGTATGATTGAATGGATTTGTCATATGCAACAGAAAGAGCTTGGCCACGGGGCAATGGATAATCCAATTTATCGCCTCGCCATTTATTACAAATTTCTGTGGCTTTTGGGTCCACTGTCACATTGATTCGTTGATTGCTTGCTTAGCTGGGTCCTAATGAGCTGCTGTCTGAATCACTGCATAATCAGCGCCCTAATTCACTTCTCCGCCTGCCCTCACGCTCGGCCTGTTGGTTCGCCCCTATTAGAAAAGAATGGACGGAACCAGCTTTCTGAGCAAGACAATTAGTGACATCATCCTTGAAACAGGGTGTCATTTTGCTTATATTAGCCTTTAATAAAGGACATTCCTCTTGCGATGTGGCAGATTTGCGGTCTCAGGTGACAAAGAGCTCGTTGGCAACCCGTCAGCTAATGATGCGCGTGTGAATCGGATGGCAATGAACAGTGAGTAGTTAGGAGAGACTTGACTTGAAATATTCCAACAAACCACCACGAGATTCTCTATTAAAGTGTTAGGATAATAGTAAGTATATGTGAAGAAATGCTGAGGAGAAGTGCAAATTAATACATCTGGGCTTTGAGTACCTAGAAATGAGTACTCTTTAATTAAATCCTGGATACACTTTATATGCATTGTAATTAATAAGTAATAATGTTTTCTCACACATTTCCAAAGCGCTGTCTTCAACTTAGTGTGCACAGACTAACGCACCTCAAGCATGCTTTTCAAAAAATAGGTTAACATATGATAATTGAAAGAATATCGAAAGTGGTCCCCCCCTTATTCCCTCACTTCCTTCCAGCCCTGTGCAGTTTCGCTGTAAGTACATACCCAGTATTGTGTGGATACCAGCAGTATTTCAACTCTGTGATTCGTAGCCATGTCATCTCGAATGCTAGAAAGACACAGCAAGATTTGGTACAGTTATTTTTACTTTGCGAACTTTTTAATTTTAGGTTATGAAATACCTGAAGATGGATGTGAGGGAGAGAGAGCAAGTAGGTGAAGCTTTAGCTCGACACCAATATTGGCCGTCTTGGTGAAATTTGTCAAGCTTGAAGAGGGGATTAGGGACCCATTGGGATTTGTTTGCAAAAAGGCTGGTGGATAAATATAGAAGGAAGCTAATCAAGCCATCTATCAACAAAGGAGGGCACCACCCGTGTGCTTCATCGCTTGTCCTGCGAGAGGCCGTAGCACAGGCTCAAGTGCAATGAATGATGGACCAAGTAAGTGCTCATGGAACGCTATGGAAGCACTGCTGCCAGCTGTTTACGTATTATACACAGATCAGGATATGTATAAAATGTATCTTGAATAATCCCGTCAACTCATAACATACTTTATAAGCCAAAAAATCACAGGTAAAACGTTATTCAGACAACATTTCTTTAATACAAAGTCAACATATCTACATACACAGTGGCTTTGAACCAATTATTGTTTCAGTTTGAAGTAACAGTTTGAAAGTGATAGCACTTGGCCCTTATACAAAGGAAAAAACTAATTTGCTGAGATTGGCTTCATTTGATTAATTTCATTGCCTGTATGTACTGTATATGCTCTATTCTTGTCGATGGAACTTTGTTAGTTTTGTTTTTTTGTTAGTCCCTCCAACTTTTCCCCCCAAATATTCTTTGACTGTTTTCAAAAGGCTCGGATCTTTACATGAAGTCAAAAGTAGAGTAACACGGTGCACAAGCTTCCATGGTTTCAGTTTTGGCATTGGGGCCATTTTTACCAGTCTTTTTTTTTAGTTCCAAAAGGCTTCAGTCCAGGATTTTAGCTCACGAAGAAGCATCTCAAGGTTTTCCCACTGTTCAGAAATGACATGCTGGAAGTGTGAAGTTTTTGGTTGTCTTAGTCTTCCGTTGGTTGCATTGCACTGCTCTGTTTCATTGAGTCCTGACTTCTTTCTGCATCCCACAGCAAAACATGGCTGAACAAAAACACATGGTTTCAAACTGCTCTAGGGAGAAAATCAATCAACATGGCATGTTGCAACTGAGCCTTTAGCATAGCTGCATTTGTCCATAAGAGAATGATTTATTTGTGTAGTAAACCATGGCGTTTTAGGCCCCTGGACAGCAGCGGATTTACTGAGGCTTTGTAGAAAACCTTTAAAAGGAATGAAACTCACCTTTGGGTGCTACTGTTTTTTTCTTCCTTTAGTGGACATCTCTACCTTTGAAATCCCTATATTGTTCAAATTTGAGATTAGGAGGTATATTCATTTAAACAGAATACATTTTGAAAACCTCTCAAGTTTCTGAAGTTCCATGGTGTGAAAGACAAACCTCTGTATTATCTCTTGTATACCCTTGCTAATGCGGGGGGCAGGGAAAGGTTCCTGTCCACATTGAGCATGAGGATGTGACAGGACCTTGAATTGATGGTTCATTAACAATTTAAATGGTTAGTGAGTGAACTAACTTCCCATCCTCAGCTAAATGATACCAGCAGATCTCTGATGCTGACTTCACGCCCTCATTGAGGCTATAGGTGTGAAAACAAGAGCTGGCTTGTTAACAGCTAGCAGGGGAAATTAAAGGAAGTAAAAAAAAAAAAAGTGAGTGGTAATTAAAGACCAGAGAGCAGGGTTGGAGAAAGAACATTTCAAAAGGAGCGAAAACAGGCTTTACAAACACCAGGAAGTCGTGATGAGCAGAACCTCCAAGATTTTGAGGGTCAATTGATACAAATACATATAATCTATATATTTGTTTTATTTACAGGTATATTCTAGATCATAGTCGATATTTAACAAAATGAAAGACCACATTATGTCAGAAAATGATTAACAAAAGTAAAAAATGAGAAAAAACATGGAGGATGTTCTTAAAAACTGTGAGGTTCATAGTCTGCACATAGTCATATAGGTACAGTATGTCAAGTAGGGCTGATTTAGCAAAAAGAAAAATTACAAATTACATTTTTGATTGATTAAATATTCTGTAGACCAGTTCATAATTCCACAGTTGCTAAAAAAATCAAAATAATACTAATGTCTACAAGTTAATGATAATGAAGAATCTCAACAAGGTTTAAAAATAGCATCTCCTCATCGGCACAGGATCCACTCAGGGAAAGAAATTAAACATTGGTGAGTGAATCAGGCCAAGACACTGACATCACCTCCTTTTTTTTGAAAGAAACGCACATGGTTTCTAGGATTACAAAAATAAACACAAACAAAAAACAAACCAATAAAACTGATATTTTTCAACATGAGAAGTGGGTGGTATAAAATAAAGATGAGGAGATAAATGCCATTAATACTAAGTGTTTGGATATATCTTTATATTCTGCATTTAAATATATATGTCTGTGTGATTATGCAGAATATATATATATATATATATATATATATATATATGCACAGATACACACAGACATGTTATACTTAACATTTCTACAGTGAAAAAATAGAATGTCTTTCAACGTAATATGAACAAATAAGCATTTCTCTTTTCCTGCTAATAAAAAAAAAGGTGATACATCATCTGTTAAAAAACTAAACCAAAAGTAAAATAAAAGGTCAACTATGTCCTTTAAAATAAGTCATCATAATACAACAGTAATTTTTTTTCATGATGTTACAATAACAATAAGGCTTTCTTGGAAATAAGGAAAGATTACACGCAGTTCTGTCCATCGCTCTGGTTTTTGTGCACACCGTTCAGAAACCTCCACAGAATCCGTACACTCGTCTGTCCCAAAGCACGGATCTCAAAATGAATACTTGCTGAATTCAGAAACCTTTTTTTTTTGTTTTTTTTGTATTTTTTCAATCAGACACGTATACATTAATGCGTCAAATCCAACTTGCAGTTGTTTGGTGGGGGGGAAGGGGTCAAGTTTCTTCTTCTTTTTTCTGTCTCAGGGATGTGCAAGTAAGTTGTACCGAAGAATTTCATTATCACATCATGGCATTGAGATTCAACATGGCCTGTCACCCACAAAGACATCACCTATAAAACGGAGAAAAAAGCAAAGCAACTACTTTGTTCATCCACCTGTTACCAAACACACATACAGTGGAACTAAAGGCCAATTTGTTAACCCCAAGAACGTACAGCTTTGTATATGCAACAGGCCTCTGCCGCTCTCGAGTGTCTCACACAATGAAGTAGATGACGATAGAGGAGGCTGGAAAAAAAATAGAAGAAGTGGAAAACACTGTTGGATCATGTTGTCATATGGACGCGCTTTCAGTCGTCCCCGCCCCGCGGCGCGAGCCGTGTGAGGTGGCGGCCATCTTTTGTTTGTCTTTTTCCTCTCCCTTAAGAGTCACAGCATACACAAGATAAGCAGCATGTTTGGTTTTGACAGAAAATTTGAAAAGAAAAAAACTGAAGAAAAAAAAAAAAGAGAATTTCTCATAAGACAAAAAAAGTTTTAAACGATGATCATGGTTGCGTTGGTCACTGTACACAAAGAAAGCCCAAACTCTGCGCCCATCCTTTGTTTGGTTGTTCCGTTTGTTCCAAAGCTTCTTGCCCATCCGATTAATCTCTGTGGATTAATAACACAGTGGATAATAACACCAAAGCCCCATGATGCAATTGTTCCAAAGACAGGAGTGATTGTAAAAAAGAAAAAATCCTTGGATGCATTTCCGTTTCTCCCTCCTCGACCATCCACAAGACGGCCGTTGCATTGGCCGAGGTTCTCCCCGGTTCCGCTGGGTAGTGGGACAGCAGCCTCCTGGGGTACTTCTAACACGCACTGGCATCTCACCACCACTGTGGTCACTTGGCTTTCCAATTCCAGAAAAAATAACTGAGCTTAAGATACGTCTTGCTGCTTTCTCATCCACAGGCACTGACAGTTTATTCTCTGAGCTCAGAGCGCTTGACAACAGGCAGTCATGTGACGCGTATGTTGATTGTTGGGTGTTTTTCACACGATTTATGCCTTTCATCAGTGGGACAGTGTAAGAAAAACTCAAAGTGTGTTTGATGCTAGATGGTAGTGTTCTCGTGCTAGTTAAATTTCCACAGTTTTTTTTTTTCTTTCCGTTTTACCAGAATTTGGGGGGAAACAATTTGGATTCACACAACAACCACAATTTGGTCATTTGTTGATAGAAATAACTCAACCCCCTAAAACACCACGGCATATCAAAAAAACAATAAAGTCACCCGGGCTTGGCTACATCCACCTGTCTCTCATTGATTTTTGCGGTTGCCTTCGTCTTCAGTCACTGTTGCTTGTTACCGTTGTATCACAAAGATATTTTTGAGAAGATAAATGTCCATGAATGTTTACAATGTCCTCCACATTGTTAGACTTGAGGTAAGGAAAGCAGTCTGGATTGATACCTGCCCCATAGATCGAGCCAGAGCGCCTGGTTCCACCCCTGATGAGGGTTTTTCTTTTCTTAACGAAGGGCCTCTCAGTCGAATTGGAATTATCTTTAATCGGTTGCTTAGGCGTCATCTTTTGAAAATCTACAACGGGATCCTATTTGGTACGTCTGAATTGTGATGGTGTTATTGTCCTCTTCTGTCGTCGTTTAAATTTTCAAAGTTTCTATGGCTCAGGAGACTGGTGGGGGGGGGTGACAGGATTCTGGGAGGAGAAGATGGCTTTTTACGTTGCATAGTGATCAAAGCTTCCTAAGTACTCCAGAGCTGCATGATAGCAGAATTGGTACTCATCCTGTAGGGAAGAAAACACAAAGATGTGAGAAATGATTAATTACATCCATGTTCTAATTACCATTATGGATTTGTGTCAGTTTGAGTCAAAGTGGAGGCCTTGTCACTTTCATAGGAATACAGCATTATGTCCTCCATACTACATTAAACTATAGAACAATTCAGTTGTTTTTATAAAAAAAATCCCCCAAATCAGAGTGGTTTTTTTTTCTGTCTGACCACTGACCTCAGTCTGGACCATTGCTGGCCTCTGTGTCCGGAGCATCTTCACCGTCTGGAAGATATCAACCACGCCTTCATAGCGCATTCGCTCCAGGACGATACTGAGGGTGATGAAGACTCCGGTTCTTCCCACACCAGCACTGGAAACACATGACAATAGGGATGTGATAGATGTATCTGCATGGTGCATTTATATTGGTGCTTTCCGTTTTTCTCTAGTCTCACACTTATGGTATGTTTCGAACACTGTGACTTAATCCAACCAAGACCTGCAAAATATCCTTAAATAGCTATAGGATTTTGTTGGCAGTGCACGCGGTGCAAGAGGTGCACGTTTGCAGCTCCAACTGCCTTAAAAGATCTAACCATTTAAAAACTTTGATGACCCCATATCCTGCGGCAGTGGCGGTGGTGGTGGTGGTGACGGCAAGGGCGCCATCTGCGTGTGTGAATCCACCTCGACATCAAGCAGAACACAGAAAGGGCCCTCAAGGACACATGGACGCACTTCAAATCCGGCACACAAACCCAACCCAAGCAAACATTTTGTCTTACTAAGCCCCTCCCATGTGCTGAGAAACCGAGCCTGCTGCTGCTCTCCAGAAATACTGCGTCTTAACTCGGATCCTGAAATACTTGAGGGCTGCCTCTCTAAGCTGCTTTAGTGTGAAATAACTTCACCAATGGAACAATAATTGATATGACAACAGATTTATTCGGGCTTCTTTCAACCTCCGAGGTAATTTTGTTGAGTGAGGGTATGTCTACTATAGCTGCTGGCTTTCTGTCTGTACGTCTACGTATATGTTTGTCGGGAGGAAAAGCTGGACAAAAGATGACTTATATATTTTCTATCTATAAATTGATATGGAACACAAGGGGTACTGAGCTATTTCATGCGGAACATACGACCCACCAACCCCCGCCCTCGTGCCGCAGTATCTCTCAGCACACCCAAAGCCTCTTCCTGGGAGCCAGTCACAGCTTGTCACATGGACTCTTAAACTCACTCACAGCTCATCTCTTTCTCTCTCGGAGAGAAGACAAGACAGATCAACTCTCCAAATCTGAAGGCTCGCCGAGCCGTCGCAGACTGAGAGGATTTGGTGTCCCCATTCACAGGAAGTAATCAGGCAATTAATGACAAAAAAGCATGTGGTGTCTATTAGATAGTGGCTGAGGAGAAAGAAGAAAAGCGGGTAGGAGTGAAGGGAAAGCAGGGCCAAGGGGGCGGGTGGAGGAAGAGAGAGAGAGAGAGAGAGAGAGAGAGAGAGAGAGAGAGAGAGAGAGAGAGAGAGAGAGAGAGAGAGAGAGAGAGAGAGATTAAGAAACAAACACAGGGGTGACGGTCGGGGAAGACCGTTGACAGAAGACAAAAGAGTAAGAAAAAAGAAGGAAGGTATAAGCTCTCCGCTCGGAGATGAAAAGCCTGGATGAGGAAGAGGACGATTGGAAGGAGCAGGAGGTGGCTTTGTCGGTGACAAAACAAAGTAAACATAAAGCTTAATTATTTTACCTTAATTATTCTAAAATAAGATCTACTTCTGATCACTTGGTTTAAATCAAACAGGGTTTAGGGTTAAATATGCATTTGACAGCTGATGACGACATAGTCATGGGACACTTGCAGAGCAGATTAATATTCGTGCCGATTCCTCCTGCATAGCCGATCCCTTTGCTCTCTCCCCCTACAATAACTCTTAGGACTCATAGGAGGGAGGAATAACTCAGTCTTATTGGAGCTTCCCTGACACATCCCACAAGTCCCAAGGGGCCATTTCAGTGGTGGTGACATCATTGCTTTTTAATACAGGGGAGCTGATGTCATGTTTCATGATTTCATGGCGCCTTCAGGATGTAAATGTAGAGGAGAGGGATACCTAATCTGTCACTAAAGTAAACCACGTTTGTCAGACATCAAGGGAATTAATCGATGTGTAAACACCTTGGTTAACACGTTCCCACAATAACATACTGAATGCAAAACCATGAAAACCCACGTATAATTAATTGCATAAAGGTACAAAGGTTTCTCTTTTCTGTGCTACTCTTGCACAGCATATAAAAACATGCCTTTTAAGATGCCCATAGTCTGGCGAGAAAAGGCAACAACTCATTCAGACAAAGCCCGCTCAAGGTCTGTCGATGAATGAGAAGAACCGAAGGCCTCGCCGTTGTGCACTTCTTACTGAATCCAGCTTGTAAAGATAATGTTCAAGGTTACCTTGGAAGCCGCACCCAGCGTGATAAAAATGCATCACGCAGCCATCATAAAAACCAATCCGAAAGGCTGTATCGTTTCATGTGCCTCCTCTTTGTGCAAATGCTGAGGAACATCACTGCCTTATCAATTATGGAGGACACGGACCTGTGGAAGTGTAGAGGTAGTGAACTGCGCTGGCCAAAAAGGTGAGCTGGGAGTGTATCTGCTCGACTGTGACCTATTTATTAAGAATGTACGTAACCTTAACCGTCCCTGTAACTTAAGGTGTACAAGTTGCACAGCCTAGAAATATGGCATATTGAAAAAAAAACATCATGTGTGACATTAAACAAAAGTGCATTAGAGAAAATACAGTGCAACATGACAGTGAGACCGGTTACCTGCAATGGACAGAGATTGGTCCATCCTGCCCGAACTGCTCCTTTGTTTTATGCACCTGGCCGATGAAATCGATAAATCCCTCCCCGGATTTGGGCACACCTTGCTCTGGCCAATCAGTGAACTGGAACTGCCTCACTGTCCTTGACTGGCCATCCTGCGAAAACAGAAGAAACAAAGGTGAGGCCAGACGAAGGCAACGGCTACTTGGAAAAGGGCCCAGAGAGGATCTACGTTCATGTTTTTTTTAACACGTTCGATAAGATCGCACAGAGTGTAATATTAATATAATGAGAGTATACACGGCACAGGAATATAAAAGGACAAAGATACACACAAAGATCTCACCACAGAGAGACAGTGTGTCCTCTACTCCCCCACAGCACTCTAACACCGACCCAATCTGCATTTTCTCCCCTTGTGTTTTAGCGGGAGCGTGCGCGCGCGCGTGTGTGTGTGTGTGTGTGTGTGTGTGTGTGTGTGTGTGTGTGTGTGTGTGTGGCATGAGTAGGTCTTAGTTAAAGCTAATCAATAGTGTATCCCCCATGACGACAGTCTTCTCCCAGACACCATGTTGAATAGGACAATCCCGCGTTGCAATCGATAGAGCGACACGATGAATGGTTGAAGGGGCAAGAACGGAGGACAACGTAGCAGGAGGTGGGATTGGATTATGAAAATTGAAAACAAAAACCTTGACATGCTGACAAGCCCGCTAGACAAAATGTCAATCCTAACAATTTAATGTTATATTGATTCTTATAATCTTGTGTTGCTTGTGCACTTTTTATTTCCAATACAAACAAAACATTTAAAATGTATTTTTTACAATCAGGTGGCTTCACACTAGAGAAAGGAATTGACCTTATTTATTTGATTATCAAGTCAGAGAAGAACCTGTTGATGTGCGTCCTTGTAAAAAACAAAAGGTTTGCAAAATCAGATTTTGTTGAGCGTCAGCAATTAAAGCACCTGTGAGTTGTGCTGAGTTTCTCACTTCTCTGTCTTTGCTGTAGACAGGATTTATCATTCTTACACATTTCCTCCCCATTTGTTCAAACTACAGGTAAAAGGTACAATTTTAATAAAGCTCATTGAGTATGTAAACAGGGATCTATTCATTATTATATCTATTTATTTTGCAGTAGAATTATAGACTTTAAAATTAGGTTAAGAGAGATTCTGTCTAAACTGTGTTATAGAATCAATGTAACATGCAAGAATGTGAACAGTGTGAAGCAGGTAAAACTTTGCAATGGAAACAGGGTGATGTGGTCCCTGCAGACCATTTCCTGCATGTGTCTGAGCAGCTTGATAATGAACACAATTTACATTTCTGCACAGAGGCAGTGAATCGGTAAATAGACAGAAAGTTAACAGCCAATGTGTATCTAAATGGGTACAACCTTAGACGAGCTGGAAGCTTGTCGTTGCGTAAGGAGCGAACTGCAGGATCCTCCTCACGCGGCTTTTAATACTAAACCGGACAAGTGAGCATTTCAGTTCATCACAAATGAACATGTAAAAAACTCCTTTACTGAGATTATAAATCAAACATGAAGTAGGTGCATTGTCCTAGATGTACGATTGGCCTTGTTTTTCTATCACATAAAGAATGTTAGATGGCTACACTTTCCAAGGATGTTAAAACAGCATACGTCAAAATGAGATCATACTTAGTCATCGTAGATGTTGTCATGGTTGCCGCACTACATTCTTATTCACTCATTGATTCTATTTTTCTGCCGTGAGCTAACATCCCCCTAGCATGCTAAATGCAGACGGAAAATCTGCAGCTAAAACATCTCCAAAGGATCTACATAATCTGTCTATTGAATATTTGTGCTCCGAATGCAAAGTGCTGATGACCCGTGTGCCAGAAGGCACTGCCTTACTGGCTCAGCTATTTGATTTGTTTCCGCACCGCTGCAGCCAGATGTATTCTTGTACATTTATTGCACTTGACAAATTCATTGATTTGGATTCTAGTAAGCTGAGCTCCATATGCTGACTCCCTTTGTACGACATCTCATGTCGTCCCTGTTCTTTGACGCATCGCATCTTGCCTCGCCTTTGTTTGTCATCTCAAAAACATTTTGCCTCAGCGGTTGGATTAAAAGTGAAAGAAGGGCAAAGACAACAACACAATAAACCAAGCACGCCAAAGCAAGAGGGGAGAGAAGAAAAAAAAAAAAACAAGAGAGGAAAATTTAACACACAACCTGAGGGCCCACGCGGCGTGTCAAATTGTGTGATTAAATACGTGACTGGCTCGCTAGATGTGAGTGTTGAGGCATAAAGTCTATGCTATTACTGCGCACAGGCGTGCAACGTACATGCGAACACACACACACACACACACGCATGCATAATGCAAAATCAGTAATATGGCGTTGAATAACACGGCAACACACAGCTTTCTTCTCCCATACTTGTATTTAGCATATCTCTAATAACACCCTTCCTTCTGGGACCCTTAACTCTGGTGATAAGCCTTGACCGTCCGTTGGCTGTTTTAATGAATTAGCACCCTTTATGAATCCTCCGTAGGACAATGGACAGTGCATGAGACACGATGTTGGCATGTGTGGTATTCATGGGAGGGTTAAAATGTACACACACTATAAAAATGAGTCTGTGTGCTGAATGTATTTGCGGGGGGGGGGGGTTAATGGCGTATCAGTTTAAACAGTATTTAATGTCTAATTCTTACACTCTGTGTAGAGAGTTATTTTGGTTTATGTATGTATGTGTGTGTGTGTGTGAGGCTATATAATGTATTCATTTATTTTAATACCAGCAGGATGACTGCTAACTAGCTGTCTCGCCACCTGGGAAAACATTGGATATGTCAGTCCGTTTGACAACGAGAGGAAGCCGTTTTATTTCAGAGCTACAGTTCCGCTACTTCAAAATGTCCGTCCTAATTGGGCCCAATAAACAACTCCTGAGGTAAACGGATAACTGCATTAATAGGAAGTATGCAGTAAACACGAAAGGGCCCGTTGGTTGTTTACTCATTGATATGTGATTTAACCCACAACATTCTGATATTGTTTTGTGTCACAACCCATCAGACTACAGAGAAAACCTACAATATCAGAGCCATAGTCATGCTTTGATGGAACACTTGTGATGTTCATGTAACCTACATTCCCAACCTGCGTCTTCTCAGGATTTGGTATTGGATAGCTTTGTGCTCCTCTGAGCTTACTGAGAAAGTGCTGTCTTTATGCCACAATGTTGTGTCATTATATTGGATACTGCATGAACTACTATACAATTATTCCCTGGTTCTGTGTTGCTATCGAGTGCCAGTTTAAATAAAGCATCTATAAAGAGCCTCTCATTCCGTTCAGAGGTACTGGCATTAAAAGATTCATGATTACGATTGATTTTTGAGTTTGCTAACAACAATTCAATACAATACAATTATATACATGTGTAACTCCCCAACTTACCAAAACCAAATGCTTGACTTGCCCGGTTTGTTAACACCTGTCTATGACTTTGTTGGTCTAAATGTGTCACTCCATCGATCCACCCCCCAACCATGCGAGGGATGTCTTACCCTGGCGTCCGTGACCTTGAACTCACGGAGGATGTACTGGGGCATGTTGTACTCCGCCATGGGATCAACCACAAAGTACTGGTACCGGGCAGAGCGCTCAGCCGGCCAGTACTGGTGACACTTTTCCTGTTTGAGACAATGTGTTAGATGGTTAATGGTTACAACCACGTGATCAAATGTTGGTGGCCATGCGCGTTTGTGTCTTACCCGTCCCATCTCTCTGAGTTTGGTCAACATGACAACAATGGTAGAGTTGTTCTCCCAGAGCATTCTCCAGAAGTCTTCTGTAGTCTCTGCAAGAGGGCCCTGCGTGGCGATGTACGCCTTCTGTTGCCTGCATATGGCAAAATAATGTACCTTTAGCGTAGCATTATCCACACCGCTCATGCAATTTCTCTGGAATTATATTAACACTTGATGAATTCTTAAAAGAGACAGAGGCCGCTTTTGATGAATAATATGTTACCATATCAACAGATCGAAATAATATTCTCCTTTTCCCTACTTCCCTACTTGTACCGTCTCTTCACAAAAGCATCCTTTAGCTGAAGTTCTCAGAGAGGAGGATGTTACATTCAGTTTTTGAATTATTAAAGATGTTTCCAGGCAATCAGCTCACACAGGCCCCCCTGCTGTCCCGATGCCCTGCCCAGTCTCCCCCTCGTCCTACCTGTATCCGTCGATGAAGCTGGAATTGATGTAGTCGGATCCTTCCAGGCCTCTGATTGGCTGCAGGCAAACGCGCGTGGTCTCGTAGGGCATGATGTTGACCAGCCGATTCTTGAACTTGTTGCAGGGAAGGTTGGCGCTGATGAAGCGTGACGTGTGGGCTTTGGAGTTGGCCAAACGCTGGAGGGGAAAAATGAGCAGCGGCATAAAGGGAGGAATCGATGGAAGGAATACACACAAATAATAGTCAGAGGAAAATAAATATGACACAGTGGGTGGAGGAAAAGGTATCGAGGAGGAAGAAATGAAAAGAAGATGAAATGAAAAGTACAGTGGTGGGGGGGGGAGGGGGGGTACAAAGAGGCAACAAATTAGCAAAAGCCACCGTGAGTACAAAGAGGAAGGAATAATAGGTAAAGGAGGGAAGACAGGGAGATGTGACAGATGCGAGAGAGATAAAGAGAGGAGTATATCAATGACAGAAGTTTAAAAGCAAACCCAATCTAATCTGCTTTGCTGACACAGCTTCAAAGAGACATTGTTTACCAAGAACGTATTCATCGGAAAGCAATTTAAAAACTTTATCCCCTCTGGCAACTTGGGGAGGGTGGGTGGTGGTGGGGGGGGGGTACTGCAGGGTCAACAACAGAAGATATGCGACACAGACAGACTAACAAGCCTCTGGATCTGGTTGGTGCAAAAAAAAAAAAACTAGTGTAAAAGTGGGTCACCGGTGCCTTTGATAACGGCAGTGTGGGATGACTGCAAAAAACGTAGACTCGCAACGTGTAGTTGGCAGAAACAAACACTTGATGAAAAGGCAAAGCCCTCTGCAACACGTCGGAGGGACCCGGTGGGGGGGGGGGGGGGGGGGGTGCATTTCCCCATCACTGCGTTGTGCTTCTCTCTATCCCTGTAGTTCCCCAATAGCACCAGAACCTCTGTGTCAGTGGCCACTTGGACTCCATCCAACCATCTCCACTTCCCTTCATCCTTTGCAACTGCCCCCCCCACCCCCCCCCTTTGATCTGTGTTTCACAAAGGCACCTGGAAAGGCTTGAGGTGGCCTGGCAGCACTAAAGAGGCTCCGGGCTACACAGCCAAACATCGCACTGGGAACGGAGATAAACCTGGCAACTTGTCACCCAGCAGGGCAGAGAAGCCCCCCCTGCTTTGCTAGGCGCCAACTCCTTTCACGTTAACAGGACATTATATCTTTTCACTTGCAAGTTTAGAGCAGATGTACATTTAGCATGTTTCACCACAACGGGGATCACCACGTGCGGTGCTCCAAGCCACGACGTAGGGTTTACAGAATTGGGATTATCCTAATCCTAACCTGCCCCACCAGCTAATTAAAACTACTGCAGAGCTCATAATCATTCCTTTATTTTATACAGTTTTCCAAAAACGACTCTTGCGTGCAGTTCACATGCACGAGCATCTTCTGTGCATAGGCCTTTTCCCTGAGAGTGCTTCAGAGAGCACTCGTCAGAAGTCCCTCTCCTCGGTTCATTCTCCCCGCTGAACTCCTGCGAATCCCAACAGTGGCAGTTTAACAGCGTACGACAGCGTTTCCCACCCGGGAACGGCGCTCTCCCATCCGTCCCCGCAGCATTATATCCAACCGCTTCCTTGGTTAGCATTAAGTCGTCCCTTTGTTCGTCAGCCAAACGTCCCTCCCTCCGCTTGCCCTGCCGTCCACCTCCATTTGTCATCATCAAGTATTAATTACTCCGCTCCCCCACCACTCTTCACGCACACCTCTCTTCTCTTTTCCCGACTACCGCGCGGTAACGTTATTAATCCCCGGGCGACTCCTGGCGCCGGCTCAGCATTATCCGTGTTACAGATGGCGATGGAGATTTCATCAACGTTGGGCGCCACTGAGTTTAAAAAGAAAAAAAAAAAAAGGTCTAAACACACCAGCACTATTATTGTGTCTTGGCGGGGGGGCCGTGTTGGAGAACGGCGATGGGAGGATGATGGATGGTTTGAGAGTGAGTGCGTTAAATTCAAGGTCAGCAGATACTGAAGCAAAGGTGACTTATAAGTTGACCATTGTTAAGATCTTCAATAGAGATCCATGTGAGATGGTACCTGCCTGACTATCCTCACCTACTGCTTTGTCATGGATTTCTCTAAAGAAGTAGACTTTCTTTTGTTGTTCAAAGCGAAACTCAAACTCACGCCGCTTCAAGGTAAAATCCGTTGCCTTGTGCCTACAAGATCAAAGCCAATTTATTTGCCCAATTTAAATCCACCAAAATGAAAATTCGGCCACCCAAGTGAAAAGGTTCAACTTTCAACTACAATTTTAGGCTTTGATAATAATAATTCTAATAATATGTATCAAAGCGATTTATTCATAAAGTAAGGTTTTCTCATTCTTTTCTTCTTCTTGGTCAAAATATTCAGTATGAACTGAAAAACAGCTGTCTTATGAATCATTTTTCATCCATATTATTCTTACCTGTGTTCTCCACTTTGTCCAGTCTGGTTTGATTATGTCTCTAGTATAATACTGAAAAAAAACTGCCTCTCGTCTAATTTAAACTTAATTTGTTTGAGGTAAAAGGATTTGGTAAAAACTGCATCTTCAAACGATTGAAATGATCTTCTCCCAGGTACCCCAATCACCTACTGTCATAATCCATTTCATGTTTTCCCTGGTCTCTCTGTTGTATTAATTATTCCACAAGAAACTTCTATTCAAGAACCAAAATATTCTTTGTTCAACTTTCAAAATGCAAAGAAATGTATCATGCGGATGTAATAGATTAAGCCCGTAAATCAAAATAATTATGCACACGCAAAACAATAATGAAGAGCAACAAATGAGAAAGGCAAAGAAATTGGATTTGCATCCAAAATAACTGCTGGGAAGATAAAAGTGTCAGCCACATTTAAAGGATTTATAGTTGCTTAACACAAAGTGACAGAACTTGCTAAATATCTTTTATGAAGTCCAGGGGGAGAAATGCTATTTCGGAAGTACTGGTCCACCGTGTTTGCTATTTCTGATTTGATTTGCTGGTTGTTTGTAGCTCTCTTGGCCTCAGGTCTGTTCTTAGCGTTTTTTAAAATTGTTTCCTGTTTATGCCAAAACCCCAAAATAGAGTCACCTGTTGGTAACTACTTCGTCTCTGTCAGACTCCAGTAATAGCTGGTAGTCGATATGAAACCCTATGCAATCATTTCCATTACCTTGAACTCTAGCTCCATGCCAGTGACGTGCTCGCCGCTCTCCACCTGGGCCAGTTTTTGGATGTAGGAGTAAAGGCTGCGGGCCGCCACCTCCGTGTTGCCGCAGGCCACCGCCTCCAACAGCGCGTCGTGAATAAAGCTGTACTGGTCCTCCGTCTGCACCATGTAGTTCCGCTGCGAGCGCATCAGCGTCACATGGCCATATATATCGACCGTCTTCTCGTGCTTGATGCGCTCGAGCATGGCGTCGATGACGATGAAGCAACCCGTCCTGCCGACGCCCGCACTTCAGGAGGAGGCGGAGGGATGGGAGGAAAGAGAAGTTTGAGGTTTTAACACATTTGGTTAATAGAATAGAATAGAATATGTCCCTTGCTCTTATTTCCATGGTCTTATGCTTTGAGCATGATGCGTGAGTAGCTGAAGCTTGAAATGTAAAAATGGTTCAAATAATTAAAAGATTATGCATGTCCAGTAATGCTTAATTGTGTGGAAGAGATGACAGGGAAAGCAAAGCTAAGGGACGCAGAAACGACCAAACATGAAAGATAAAACAAGGAGTGGACAGTGATGGAGACCGAGCGGGGCGAGCTGTCAAATATCAAAAAGCGCTTGAACTATTGTCAAGCGCTTTGGACTTTTCTTCTTATCTTGACAAAAAGGAAGGTTTCAATTTGAATAATCCATATGAGAAATATTGCTTGTAAAAGTGAGGAACGGCTAAGGAGCAAAGGAAGAAAGCAAGAAAGATGGGAAGGGATTACTGCGAGGCTTTTTACAGGGAGGGAACCAAGAGACAGAGAGAATAAAAGCAAGGAAAAATGGCGCGCCTTAAAAAGGAAGATGATGTGACCAATGGGAGGATGAGAGAGAAAGAAATAGAGCATGTGTTTGTATGATGTGTGTTACGTAATGTATAATAGCAGTCACTCAGGAGCTCTGCCATTTTGTTCAACAATGGAAATACACACACACACACTGTGGCAAAAATAAAATAACCCTATTGAGTGCATAGGGCTTCATTTTTTCTCTAGTGGTATCAAGATGTCCACAGGGGAACATAAAACTGTCCCACTTGGGCACATACATCCGAGCTCCATAAAAATCCAACACTGGATCTTTGAGCAAACAAAAAACAGCATTTCAACCAGAACTGACAGCAGAGAAGTTGCCACCGACCTGCAGTGGGCGATGATGGGTCCTGCGTCAGGCGGGTTGCACGTCTTCACCCTACGGAGGAAAGCCAGGAAGGGTGTGGGATACTCTGGTACCCCGTGGTCCGGCCACGCCGTGAACTGGAACTGACGAACCTCCCGCTTCTCACTAGAGCCATTCTGGAGGGAAGAGAAAGGTGGGGTTGGGTCCAGTGGTGGAGGTTTGTTCAGGACGAATATCCAAATGGCTTCACGCTTCTGTGTGTGTGTGTGTGTGTGAGATGTTTTAGCTCCATGGTCACTACAGGTGAACTGTTCAAGGCGTTTGAAGGGTTTTTGTATGATGAGTATTGTCATTTACTAATAGGTGTCCATTTGATGACGTGATGCACGATGAAAAAAGGTTTGGCAATTCCGAAAAGAAATATTGTGTTTGAATAAGTGAAAAAAACATTGTGAACTAAATAACTATATATATGTATATATATATGTATATAAACATCTCTGAGAACTGAAAACAGCTAATATTGTAAAGCCATGTCTAATGGGCACGAGTGCTACAACCTTGAAATTTATATTTTGGTGCAGTAGGAGGGACAATTTCCCCTTTTGGGAAACACTTCCACACTTAAAGCGCTGATTGAGTCATCATAATATAATAAGTACAAGAAGTTTCATACTCAACAGTAGAGATATTACTGTATATTTCCTTGCTCTCACATTGCTGCTGCTCATAACATCTGCAGATACATGCGGCAGACACCCATATTACACAGTCGGCTGTCAGCTCCCTCCTCAAACTCAACGCATCAAAGATACACGCTGGGATCCAGAGGAAGGCTTTTTGAGTCTCCTGTGCATGTTTCCGTCCTCCTCTCCTCTCGCTCCTTCTTCTAATGGAGGAACTGTTTGCTTTTCAATGCAGTGTTTCTGCTTCCCAGACAGAGGGATTTTTTTTCTTCTCCTCGCTGAATAAATGAATAAATGAGACTCGGTAATTAAAAGCAAACCGACCTAAATCTGATTTCCCTTCATTTTCTTTTGGACATTCCCCCGTTTCTGTATTTGACGCAGGGTGCATGGATAAGGTTGGTACACGTTTTAATGGAAAACATATTCTCTATTCAGGATCTATCAATAGACACAGTTTGGAATCACTGCAGGACATGTATTCATATGAATAGGTACCACAGCGGCTGCTTTATAGACGCACTCTGTGTGTGCGTGTGTTTGTGTGTGTGTGTGTGTTTGTGTGTACTGCCGGCTTCTGCTACCTCATACTTCACACAAATTCAACACAGCATTTTTTTTTTCTTCTCAGGGATATAAAGTGAAAACAGCTCAGTGAGAAATCACTGAAAGTGCTGCAGCTCTAACGGGGGAGGGAAACGATGGATAGAAAAACAATCCCATCGGTAGGTTGGATGCGGGCTGAGAGCAGCGGAATGTAAATGCCTCCGAATGTCAACCAGCGAGCTTTAAAGCGCCGCGGCTGCTGATGTGTTGCTATCTTTACCGTCGCTGGTTTGTCCTAGTGATCATTGCTCCACTGACGGTTCCACAAAGAAACGCGTCAGCCGTGACGCCTGCGTGCTGCTACCTGGTCCAGTGCATCATTTTGGAAATGTAACCTTTCCCAAGGCGGATCCTCCACTATATTATATTGTCATTTTACAACACGCGTGTGCGTGGCGTGTATCTGGGTTTGGCATCATATTTATATTTAAGTGGATCACGGGTTTGTAAATTTGCGTGTGCAAATCCTGCAGGTCTGTGTGAAGATTCTGTCGAATTCAGTATTTAAATCTGTGTGTGTATGTGTGGATCTATTAGCATATGAGCAGTTTGCCAATCATGTATATTGAGTTTCTCTCCTGCCCACTTTACGTAAGTGCTCCAATTTGGCAGACGCACATAAACAGATGATCTATTGAGGAGCGAGAGCACTGAACAAGATAAAAGGCTCGGCCTTGGAAGGACAATGCGGACAAAGGGTTATATATATGTATACTCCTTTACATCCAACGGAAAGACAGCACGCGGTTCATTTTTCCTGCCTGTGCAATTTGTGTGTCACTTTTATAAGTATGATATTTTTATTCATGCTATCCAACTTGATGGTAAATAAAATGTCTGGATCGTATTTGCTTAGACATGCTTAGGCGCCGTCCACAGAATTCTGCTCATGCAATTTCTGGCTTGTTACAGTATGACCTCAACAGAGCAAAGAGGACACAGAGGTGATGTGCGTACCCGTGTGTGTGGGAGGAAGAGCAATCAATCATCCTACCTTGTGCAAGGAGAAGGTGCGGACACAGAAAGTGGCCAATTCTATGGTGTCCAACAAGGTCACTTGGGTCATACCATAGGTTTCTGTGCCGCGACTGGGCCAATACTGGTCACACTTAATCTGGGAGACAGAGAGAGAAAGAGAGACATCAATGTCACATTTGGTCAAAGTTTTTTTTTTCCCCTCTTGTGAAAAGGATCATGGACGTGAAAGGAGGACTACAGAAAGATGTGAACCTCGATGGATCTGACACGTGCACATCGAGCAAGTCCTCTGCAGGTCAAGCTTTTACGCAGCGTTTGCAGTAGGTGAGCTCGCCTCCTCCTCTAATCTGAGAAACAGCACCTAGCCGACCGAACACATGTGACCGGACTGCCACAGCAACTCCATTCGCACAGCGTAAGTTCACAATCAATCATGTGGATGCGTCTTTTTCTACATCTAAGAGCGGAGAAGTAAACCGGTCATGCAAATCATCAGGGAGTGCAATCAATTTAAAGATCAAAATAAAATATTTGTTTTAATATCAACATATCAGTACTTTTAACCAGATCCAGGATGGATGCTTCATTTTTTTACTTTTTCATTTAGTGCTTCTAGAGTTTATCTTAAAAAAAAACAGCTTCTCCCATCCATCCTCTGTCAGCCCACTTAATAAAATTCATTCATTCGGGCTGTGACATGCTGGCGGCCCTCAGATGAGATGTGACAGCTGGCGACAGAGATGAGTTGCTCTCCAGGTTTCTCTATACCATTTTTTTCTCAAGCTGACACTAAAGTTCTACGGCCCGCTAATCCTGATCACGTTTGACAGGAGTGGAACGCACACGGCAGAATGGAGGACAGGAAAACAATTGAAAAGGGAAAGAAAGGAGGGAAAGTGAGTGGAGACACCTGGGGTGAGTGAGCCTGATGTTGACAAAGGTTTGAGTTAACGGGATGGAACATCACAGTTGGCTTTTTGACATTTAAAAATGTCCATTCCAAAGAGTACAATCTTTATTGATCCATTCAATGTATTTCTTTTATTCCTTTATTTGTCGCGATCACCTGCATTATTATCTCAAAACTTTGAAAAATTCTATTCTGTCTCCATTGTTATAGTTATTTATCTGACAACACATGTTTATATCAAAAGCACAATCCAAAGATGGTGGTGGAAGGTACTGGTCAAGTACAGTAAAAACTGTGTGGTACTCGGTTGCATTTTCGGGAACATTTTATTTTAGCTTCCTGCCATGTGCACTCGGAGTACAAACACCTACTAGGCTTTCAGTAATTAGGGGACAAGCAACAGCTTGTGGTTTTCATCCCAAAAAGGAGAGAAATGACAGCAAAGATTCTCTCAGTGGATAAGAAGCCCATCTTATCAGATGGGGAAGGGTAGACCATCTTTGAGTTGAGTCCATTTCATCACCCTGCCCTGCTGCTTTCACCAACCCTTTCAAAGATCTACTCTTCTCTGAAGGTGATCCATCTCAGGAAAATTAAGCCTGATTACTTATCAATGTTGTTCAGATAGCAAACTGGGAATCAATGTGAAGCTTTATTTGAAGTGTTTTTTGAAGGCACTCCAGATGTGTGTGTTGCTGGGACTAACCCGTGACTTCTCCTCCAGTCGGGTCATCATGACCACGGTTGCTGCTCTCTGTTCCCACACCATCCTCCAGAAGTCCCCGAACGTCTCTGGTAACGGACCCTGGGTGGCGATGTAGGCATTCTGCTTCCTGTAGCCGTCAATGTAGTTGGCGTTGATATAGTCGCTCCCTGTGATTCCTACATGTAGAACCACAGCATAACAAATATTTAAAGGAAAGTTTTTTTTCTTCTTTTCATCCACGTTCTTCTCTCTTCTCTCATCATTAAACCCAATAATCACACTTCTGGTGCCATCTTTCTCGACAATTCCCAGATTTCACATATAACAACTCGGTGTCCCAACCAATGATGGTGTTAAGACTCTAGACTTGAAAAAAGAGATGAAATAAATTGCTTATATAATGAGTTCTCACACCTCTTAAAGTTGAAACAAGTGAAAATTGGCTGTGATCATTGAAAACATTGGCATTGTCCAGAGAGCAAGAAGTATCTCGTAATGTCAGCTTTTGGGACATTGTAATATTTCTGCAAAATAGATCTTAGTGCTTGTTACAAAAAACTCAATTTCAAGACATAATACGGGATTAAATGAGATGTTAAAAACAGTCCCACCTCCTTTCTTCCCCTCTGCTACGGAACAGCTGAAGGAAACCTTGTATTCAAACTCCCTTTATTGCTATTTCGTCCTTTTTCTCTTTCGAGCTCTTTTGTCCCGCCTTGGTTTCTGTAGATACGGCGTAACAGCCTCCATCTGATTTACCACGACCACAAATGGGTCGTGCGTGTAGATGGAGGACAGCGTGGGGCAACAACAGCCAGGAGGTAGAAGCTGCTACCATCCCTCTCAGCCCGCCACCATGCTTTGTTGCACACCAGTCCACTAAGTTTAGCCTTAAGGGAACGCCTCCACATTGTGGGGCAGACAAATGCGTTCTAGAAACATAATGACAGAGCAGTAGTAAGCTCTGTTGCAAAACCCTCCTTCCACCAACAGCGTGTAACTATCCAAGCATTCCGCGGCATCTTTTAATGTGCCTCTAAGCGGATAATGGAACCATTTAAAGCTTTAAACATGGCGTTAACTGCAAGGTTTCAACGGGGCGGCTCATGATAGCAAGCATCAATGGTGGTGCAGTTATCCTAAAAACCAAAGTGCGCCATCATTTTAGGTTGTTTTACACAAAAAGATTCAAGCCCACGTCTCTAATTTCTGTGATTAGGGTTTGTCAAACACTATAGCATCTGACAATCCTGTCAGTTCAAAAGAGACCCCAGTGTGGGGGCATCCGTGCTGGGAGGGTCACTGACGTCTGATCACTCAAGCAACAAACAATGAAACACTCGACTGGGCTAATTTAAGAAGAGGGGACGCAAGTGTGGACAACAACTAGGGTGGAGAGGAAGAATAAGATGGAGAAGAGAGGGCAAAGAAGAAAACAGAGGAAATGGTAATAAGCTAAAAACAAAAGAAAGAAAGAAAGGCAAATGTCATTAAAACGGATAGCGCGTCGCACAATCTGACTGTGGTGCCCGGGCTTTAGTCATAGCTAAGTGAACAGAGAATAGCGGCGTGCATGAATTGTTCTACTGCTGCAACTAATGGCAAAATCACCGCAGTGTAAAATAGAAATTTCAGACTTGATTAATTTATGTATTTATGGACGAGGCATTTTCTTTCCCTGGGATAATTCTGTTACGCATGTTGTCGCACCCTCAAATTGGCCTGACTCTTTGCGAGATGTCGAAATCTAGTCGGAGTGGTTGCTTCTCGCAAAAGAGGGAGTTCTGTGGAGTGGGGGAGTTTGACACTACTCCGGAGCTCGTGTGGTGATGCAACGCCAGAAGAATGTCGGCGGTGAAGGGTGACTACCTCTGACAATGTCCCTTGAGATTTAGGAGTCGGGGGAAGAGATTCTCTGGCTGAGGGATTCTCACTAGTGGGTCTGTCGGCAGTTAGAGGGAAGTCGTGAGAGCGGGTCAGATCAGATGAGACAAATGGGGGACGGGGGAAGCCTTCCCTGGTGCTGGGTCCAAAGTAATGATTCCATGGAATGCTTAGAAGCACGAGACCTCAAACTAAGTTAAATATGAAATCCTATTGTATTGTATTTTTCTCGCATTGATTCAAGACCGTTCTGTTCCATGCAGTCTTCAATTCTTAATTAAGCACTTCATTGTATTTAATGTGTTCTATTCTGCCATGTCGCGCACTGTTCCAGTCCCATCCGGCCCATCCAGAATCCACAATTCCTAATTACTCAAAGCGACGCTGTAATTGGGAGGATTTCCCAAAAGACCTGCGATGAGCCGATCTCATCTGTGAGTGTGATGCGGGCGTGTGAGGATGCGGGAGCCTTACCCTCAATGGGAGCCAGGATGACGCGGGAGTGGTCGTAGGCAATGACGTTGGCGTAACGATTCTTGGGCTTGTTCACCTCCAGGTTGGAATGTTCCCAGGTGAACTGCTGGCCTGGATCGATGGACTGATGGGGGGCCGGGGGGGAGGGGGGGGACAGGTAAAACATGCAGACACCAAGAAGGAGAAATTAGTAGAAGAGCCTTGGGAGGAAACCGAGCAATAACAATATGACCTGATTGTTGTCAGAGATAAGATGGGGGAGAGAAGTGGGGTGTGTGGGGGTGTGGGGGGGGAGGGGGATCGAGAGGGTGATTTCTCTTTTCAAAGGAAAAAAAAAAAAAGGCATCATGGAAATCTGCTCACTGCCTTGTTTAAATACTCACAGCAGCTGCACACAACACTCCATCAATATCATTAATGTAGCCGGTGTAAAATGACAAATAACAATATTGATGAAGGCGGGGGCTTTCTCCCTCGAGGGGAGGGCCTGGAGCGAGGGCCTGCACTCGGGGAAAAGAGACTATTTACAACGCAAGAATTACGGATAGATATTCTGTTCCCTTGTCGGGATAATTAAGTATTCCATTACGATTCGATGTTTGCTCATAGGCGTCTGGCGCCCTGTTGGTGGGTGGACAGGGGAATGAAGATTATTTGCTGTTCGGGCTTCGGCATATTGGAAGGGGGAGAGGCGGGAGAGGGAGGGGGGAGGCTGCAGAGACAGAGAGACGGACGCTGAATGAAGTCCAATTGGAAACCTGATCTAACAATTTCCATGCAATCTTTACAGCGATCACAGCTCCCCTCTGTTTGAGCCTCGCTCCATCCGTTTCTTTCTTTCTCCCTGCTCTCTCCTCCCTATTCCTCCTCTTTATCCCCGTTTCCCTTATCTGCATCCCTCCATCTTCAAAGTCTTTCACTTTTTGTCCAGATTTCTTTTTCCTCTCTATCGCTGTCCCCATCTCCCGTCTCCTCGCAAATTTGTACACTCCCTCTTCGAGCGGCCACCCTCCAGCTATTTTCTTTTTCTTTTTTAATCACCTGAAGGCTGACTCTGTGTGTGCATATATATAAAGATTGGGGTCGCTTCCCTGAAACGGTGGTCAGTTAAAAATTTGAAAAATCTGTGCACTCAAAACATGAATGTTTTTTTAAAAATAATTTACATTTAGGAAGCATGTAATTCTGAAACAAGTAGAATTCCTTCCTTTTTCCATGAGGAATGATGCATGAGGACAGAGAGCTTTTGCAGGACATGGCTGCCAACTGCCTCGAGAAGATAACAACAAACTACGCGGCTTGAGTGTCTTCAGGTAAAACTGTGGCTGCCGTTGATTTGCCGTTAGCGTGTCAGATTATCTCCCCCTCATCTGCACCCTCCAGCTGAGTCGCCCTGCACTCTCTCTCTCCTCCCCCTCCCCCCTCTCTCACTGAATCCTCATCATTAACCAAGCCTCCCCACCTCATCCCTCTACCCTCCCCGCTCCATTTTTCCTCCTTCCTCACATCCCGCTTGGCTAAAAACCAATCAGTCAAAGCCCCGTAGAGCTGTGCTTGGCAAGCCAGGGCGCCCGGACGGGCAACCATTCATCAAGAAAATAACAAAATTAAAATTACACTTCTCTATTTAATTTGGTCATTTATTTTTCCGGGGGGGGTGGTTTTGTGAAGGGGGCAAGGGGACGGAAAGAGTGAAAAAGACAGAGTGGGAGAAGAGACGAACGGGGGGGTAGTGGGTGGAGGGGTGGGGGGTTCAATGTTCTCTCAAAGCCAAGTAATTAGAAGTTGTAGTTGTAGCAACGCGTCAACTTTGGCATCGCGTCTCCCGTCTCTCTTCCCGGCGAATGGAACGAGCTTGTCCACTTGGAACGTAGCCCGGGTGCGGATTTATGAATAATAGATATCCAAGAAATACTGGCCCGCTATGAGAAGTCATTATCCGCCCACCATCCCCCCGGCGTGCAGGACGACGGCCATCTCTGCCTGTGTACCTGCCTGCTACCGTAGCCTGGCGTGCAGCGCGGTGATTTAGGGACGGAGGGAAGGGGATATTGCTTGTATGCAAACGAGAGCTGATTCAGCAATCCTGATTTCTAATCAACTCTAGTGTCATTTATAACCGCAGCGGTCTCAGGGCTCAGACAGCTCAGCTACCCCCTTTATACACACACACACACACACAGAAACGGACTATACGGTGAAGCCTGATTGCCACCGTGCGTTCCCCCAAAAACACATTAGTTGAGTTCTGAGTACACCAGTCTTTTTTTGGAAGAAAGATCATCTTTGTTTAGTTCACTAGCGTGTGTGTGTGTGTGTGTGTGTGTGTGTGTGTGTGTGAGAAAAAAAAGGAAATATTTATCATTTCTGGTGTTCCAAGATTTTTCAAATTAATTAAATTTCACCAATATTTCAATGTTTCTATTTTTTCTGAATTGATTGCAGCTGCTCCATTAATCAAGTGAGACACACATCTTGGATATATTCAAATTCCATTTAATTTAGAATATTTTAGTCAAAAATGACAATTGTCTTGTTTTGCCACGTAGAGGCTCCAAGTGTATCTGAATAAATATGTGAAAAAAACTATTTTCAATAATTGCCCATGCACCATGGAGCCCTGCCGACACACACGCACACATGAAGAAACGTTTCCCTGGAGCTTTGTTTCCTTGTTTCGTGAAAACACAATCAGACGGGATTCAGTAATCTGAAGAAGCTTCGACATTTGAACCCGTTGGCCCGCTCACCTCATATTCCTGGGAGAGCTTGAGGTTGTCGTTGGCCTTGAGAAGCTCCGTGTGTTCAGCCAGCTCCGATATCGGGATGGGAGGATGATTCATCATGCCTGTTTCCAAAGGATTGAGGGAGCGATTCCACACATGGGAAGACAGGAGAGAAAGTACCGTTAGCAAAGCACAACACAAGTTGAAAACTCCAGAATCCCCAAACCCAAGATTTTTTAGGTGAAAATGTGTCGCTTACAAAACAATGGAAGTGGGGTTTTGGTGGTGGGGAAGCATTTGCAAAACAACATGGTGGATGTCGCACACAGCGGACAGTGTGGCAGCGACAGGTGATGTTAGAAGCGCTCAGTCGGAACAGGCCAGAGCTAAATAAACGCAAGGTGTGTCCGGTAGGGCTGATCATGTTCTAAAGCTGGTAGTATACAGTAACGGTCACCAAGGGACCAATAAGATCAATTTTGCAGAGTGTACCCAGAAAAAAACATCCGGAGGCATCGACCTTTTTTTTTATAGCTTTTGAAATTAGGTAAAAAGGTAAATAATAAGAAGAAGGTTTTGATGCTGAAATCGCAGACAAGAATCAAAACAGCCATTTTTTAGATTCTGAGTGAATAGAATTATGTTGAAACATTCCATTTTACTCCTCACTGAAGATAATACGAGTAGGAGGAATGGATCACTTGTTGGTAGAAAAAAAAAGGCTTTGTTCTGGAAATATGATTTTTTTTTCTCATTACCGATAAATGAACACTATATATTATCATTGCCAGCATTTAAACTTTATTACTTTCAGCACAATCCTCAAAGAAGCTGTGTTCTTCGTTGACAATGTTACCTCTATATGAAGCTACTTATTAAAGAGCGGAGCCCTGACCTGAGGGGAGGAGACGGGGGGTGGCAAGGGGATAAGGAGGTTTAGGCGTGTGAGTGATGTTGAGTGACACAGTGAGCTGCTCCATTCCAGCCAGCCAGTGCAAAGCAAGCAAACTGCTGTTACTACTGGCTCCTCCAAAAAAAAAGAAAGAAAAAAATACAGTGAAAATTGGCTCTAAGATAAACACCCCTTTTCTGTCCAGAATCAAACACCGGCATGCCCGCGAGCTTCTCCTCTTCCATTGGGTGGGAAAATTGTGATTTCCTTTTTTTTTTTTTCTTCGCTTGCCCCAATATCCACTACATATTGTGTCGTTGTCGCTATAATATTATCAGCACCACTGTGCACTCCAGTCACTAATCCATTTAGGACCATAATGCTGAAGCCATGTAATGGAATATGGAGCAGCCATTGCGGCTTTGCCCCCGCGGGCTGCCCGGCTGCACTTAAGGCATTCGTATTTTTAGTGAGAGTTCTCTCCTCGCAGCGAATGACGAGGTCAAAAGGTCGACAACATGTTAAAAGCTCTTCACACAAAAAAAAGAAGTTACAGAGGCTTAATTGGGCGTGCAAATCGGCGTAATCACATTAACCGTCCTTAATTTCCCTTTTTCCCGGCAATGCTTACTATCCCCTCCAATGTCAAGGGGGTCACTGATGTTTTGGCTGCCTTTGTTACGCGTAACAGAGGGAGCTCGACACTCTGCGCTGACAGTCTTCATTAGTAATGGTAATTCATTTTACACTGACAGAACAATGCAGCAGCATCAATTACATGAAGATTAACACAGATTACAGTGTAAATGTGAGGCAGATGGTGATGACGCTGGATGCTTTGACACCCTTCTGAGAATGAATGGACGCACTGCATTAACAAATACTTCCTCAATCCATTGTTAATTCTTAACGATCATCCTTTGAATGTTTACTCAATTCATTTCTTTTTTTTCTCCAAACAACCCGGTAAGGTAAGGAGAATTTATATGAATGTTTTGTTCTGAACTTTATGTTCATGTTTTCATACTCAAGTTTCTAAAAGAGCTGACGAAGCACACAGAGTTATTAATCCCTTATGGTGTGGGAATTCACTGAGAGGAGCACCAACTATTGCAGATATATTGCCGATTAAATTTAGTTTTCTGTTTACTTGAATTCAAGGGGGTAACGATATCATACGATATGAACGGAATAAGTGGATGTGTATGGAACTGAGGCCCCCTCACTTTTCCTTGAAAGAACAAGGGTGGATTGTTTTAGGGGAGATCAAATAATGTTTGTGAGTGGGGGGTTTCCTAGTTTACTCTGTGTGTATTTGTGAACGTAATTGAGTTATTTATATACTCAAACTCCATCAATTCCTGTCGGTTTAAGTTTACGGCCCACGTTACCGTCTGTGTATACAAGTGGCCGGCGCGATTGAAGAGATTTACAAGGCCAAAATGTTTACATGTACATCCAAATAAACGGTGAATGTACACACCGAGGCTTGTTTATTCCATAAAATCTGCAACAAAAACGAATCCTTCGAGTTAATCCGTGTCATAATCTGCCACGGTAACGGCATATATCCCTACGAGTTGTCAAGCTTTCACACATGAACCTCACAGCTAAACCAATAGGTCTGTGCAAGTATCTGTCTCTCTCGGTGCTCCTTTCAAGCCGCGTCCATGTGTTGTGTTCTCAAGACAAATAGGTCGATGGTGCCTGCTTTGTTCTCGAATACTTTTTGTCATTTACGCACATAACGCTGTTTATCCCAGAAAAGATTCACTTTCAAGACTAGGCTTTGGCCCGGCCCGTACTCCAGCAAAGTCACTCAAGGACAGATTATTGTTATTCCTACCCCCACTCCAAGGATCATCCTTCTCTTAAACACTTTTTAACACGTACACACTCTTTCTTTTTTTTCCCATGGCAATCAACAGCTTGATCAATGAACACGGAGAAGTATACTAGCGTCTAATTACACATATCCAGTCTCCCGATCTGCAGTCAATGCGCCTGAGAAACGTAATGATTATTTTTGATAAGCCAAAAAGTCTCTTTCGAAAACACTATTTATGATGCTGCACATTTCCATATGAAAGGAAAGAAGGCTGACTGTGGGTAAGCAAAGGAAATAAAAGGGAAAAAAGGGGGTAGAAGAAAATCGGAAATTCTGCTTTTTCTCCCAGATGATCCTTCCGGAAGGAGAAGCGAGAGGGGGTGATCAAATGTCGAGCCATTGTTTGCCACCGCTTTAATTAATTCTGCTCGTTATCTCTGAGCACAGAAAAGACCCTGTTACTTCAGAATGGAAATGGAGCAGTGGTGGTGAAGGAGGGGGAGGAGGAGGAGGACAACAACAAGGAGGGGAAGAAGGGTAGGCAGAGAAAGGGGGAGAACAGAGGTTGCACTGCTGTAAAACCCCAAAAAGCACCTTTGAACCGTCCCTACATCAGCAGAAGTGAGCACACAGGTTATTTATGCGTGGTGGATTAATGCACAGCCAACAGCCCAAGTGAACATTGTGACTGACATTAAAAAAAGGGGGTGGGAAACAGCCCATTATACCAATAGTAACCAACATAAAATTAATTAGTGCTGTAACTTAATTATTATGCTGCATAATGTGAAAAAAAACAAAAACAAATGCAAATTATTTGTAAATGAAGGCAAGCGAGCACAAAAAAATAAATAAAAATATATTTATATATATATATATATAAAGAAAGCCGGTACGCAAACGCTAAAAGCATAGAGACTAACTTTCATAGTCAAAATCTGCTTCGCCCTGAGGACTGCTTAGACCAGAATCTGTAAAGAACAGCAAACATAAGAGAAATGGATTTCAAAAGGTTGTAATGTAATATAAAGGCCATGTAAACGAAAACAGAGAAGTAAAAATACAAAATGATAAAAATGAGATAAGACACAAAAGGGTTCTTTTTTTTGTTTTGCTCCATCCTTCCTAGGGAGGCCTGATTGACAGACTTAAGGCCAGACTTGAAAAAATAGAGCAACATTTTTGGATCAGATCAGATCGGCCACTGTCTTCCAGACCGGTGAGCCAAGGGCAGCGGCCTGCTGAGAAAACTATTCTGCAAAGCCCCACATCAGCGGTCAGAGACATCATGGATAAGAAAATTGATTGGCTTTGATGGGGACCACGGAGCTTTCACGAACACCAGCCGGAACGTCTCACTGACAGCAGTGAGAAAAGACACAGAGACGCCGAAACCAGCTTGTTTCCTGGTAAGACAACTGAATGCAAATGGTTCTTCTTTTGGCGGCTAGGCGCTGAGGCAACGGCAGCGGGAATAAAAAGGTGTGGGAAAAGTGCTCTTTTCCTGGCGCGCGCTTGGTCGACGGCTGTGGAGACACAGCCGATTGGAGACAGAGCTCCGAGGAACGCTGTGACGGTTCAATGTCTTATTCGCTCCAGAGGAGAAGTCCTCTGGGGCCGCAGCCGGGGATGCTTTGTCCGAGTGGGCCGAGGTCGTCTCGGCCCTTCGAGCAGAAGCCAGACATCTGTCACAGCGTCAACCGGACGTGCGGCTAAGAGGCGCAGTGTGATGGGACGCTGCCAAGCGGCCCCTCGAGTGGAGGGAAACACATTTTCCCAGGGCTGAAGGCTGAGATCAGATTAACGGCTTTGTGATCACATCACTCAACAATGATGTTTTGACTGTTGTCCAAAGAATACCGATTCCAAAGCACGTGTAAGAGGTGAAAAGATCAAAAGACGAGGGAATCTGATCTACCGACGGTGTAAAAATAAATTGTTCTCCCACCAAAGAATAATAGTAAAACATTGACGTGATAAAAAGGCATCTAAAAAAAAGGATCCCAGCAAAAATAAGCAGACGGAATAATGAAACAACACTAATATAATTAGGATGTATGTTACCCTTAAAACCTTGCTCAACGGAGTTCTGCTGGATTTAGCCTATAGTGACGTCTTAGCCAGTGAATGCCAGGCCAGTGGCGCTAAATGAGCGCAGAGAGATGAAGACATCGAACATCCCCCCTCCCCCCCTCCCTAATTGATTTGTGACAATGACTAATTGAGCCTAGCAGGGGGGGGCTCTGAACCACTGTCCCCAAACGTCATTCATCACAGCAGGAGGGAAGCTCAGGCGTGTCTGATTATCTTTAATTGTGAGTCTGTGATCTGCGTGTGGGTGTGTTTCTGTGTGTTTCTATGTGTTCAAAGTGTTGGAGAGGAGGAGGGCACGGTTGTGACAGATGTTGCCATAATCTGGAGCTGTAATCTGGGAAAACAAGTAGGCTGTTTGGGCACGGCAGAAATCGGCTGGTGTCTGTGGGTTTGAAAAAGTGTGTGATGAAAATGTTTCATTTTTACATGCTTAAATATAGAACTTCCTCTGACAGAGTGGTATAGTTTCTCTAGATGGCAAGCTCCCGTATCCACGCATCTTGTGTAACAAATTCAGGCATTGGTTACTTCTAGACCAGATTACTGAAATTCTTTTTTATAACTATCCTACATCTCCCCAACTTGATCCAGAATGCTGCAGCACGTCTATTAGCAAAAACTAAGAAAAGGTATCATGTAACTCCCGTATTAGCTTCTCTGTACTCACTCCCTGTTAAATCAAGAATACAATAAACTGGTCAGTCAGGACCTTATAGCACCAAACTACGCTTCCAGAGAGCCGTGCTTTGTAAATGCAGGGTGACTTGAGGTTCCTAGAGTCTTAAAAATTACGAGCATCTCCACTATTTTTAGTCAACAGTGTTTTGGGGGAGTTTGTTGCCTTGCCAGAGGGAGGGTCCCTGGACAGAGGGTGTTGCATGTGTAGAGATTGTAAAGCCCTTTGGGGTAAATCTTTGATTTGGGGTTATACAACTACGAGAGAGAGAACAGATTGAGTATTTGTAGCAATAAGGGCGATTTGTTGGGGACAGACAGTAGACACCCATCGAGTCGTGCTGCTTCATTACTTTGGCCCCATTTGACAATTAAACCCCCGGCACCAATGGAGATAGTGACTAAACGAGCCACTCTGTGCCCCAAGGAATCACTGTGAGGCCGTCACATGACCCACAGGCTTCAAACTGAAACGCACAAGCCCACACGCAATGCACACGCTGCCTCTGAAACGCGGTGGCCAAGCTTAGTTTAGAGGAAGCCTAATCAAAAACATATTTCTGTTCCCCAGCACGAGGGGTCACCGAGCACACATTGCCGATGCGGCATATGCTCTGCTGGATAGCAGAGGCCGTGCATAAGTGCACACGGAGTATGCTCATTTGAACAATGGTCGCTATTAGCTGATGGGGATTGTTCACAAATGCTCACCGGCCCCCTTAATTGGGCTAAAATGTCCATTCAAATTAAATTCCTCGGGTGGAGAGATAACGACATCGTCCAATGCTGCGGAAAAAAAAGGCAAGAGCTGTCGAACGGAAAGGCTCGCCATGCACAAGATGAAGAGGACTCTCAGCATGTATTGCTGAACAGATTGTAACAACAGTTTCTATTATTTAAGGAGCAAAAGGGGAGTTGAAGGTTCGGTAGAAAGTGCTGGAAATCAGAGAGACAAAGAGACATTAGGAATGTACCATAAACAACCTTCGCCATGCACAACCACTGATGGGGCTCTGAGTTCCAGCCAAGATAAAGAGGCTGAGAAATAAATGACAGGTGAACAGGTTTGTGCAGGTCCTTTCATCCTTGTGTATCTCTTCTGACATGTAAATAACTATTTCTTTTCCCAGACACAAACTCAGGCAGCATGATTGGGCTCACAAAAAAGTTAAAGAGAAATGCTCCATTTTGAAATAGGGAGCCCTTTGATGGAGTAGGGACTGGTTGTGGATGACGGATGGATAATTGAGAGACAAGTGGGAGACAGAGAGACGTGGGGAAGAGAAAGGAAGGAGAAATGAGAGAGCACAAGACGGATGCGTTTATTCTTTTAACCAATTAGGTTAGGCAGGTGAGAACATTCAAAACAGAGTGCAAGTTCTGCAAAGTGTAGCTCTCATTCCTCGGTTAAATTAGGTACTATGGTTTGAGAGAAGAGGCAGAAGGAAGATAGAGAAGCCTCGGAGAATGAGTTTGGGATTAAATGTACTCCCTTGTTAACACCTTATGTCGTATGAAAATGAGACAGAAGAGAAGGCAGGTGAAAAAGCCCCCACAACGTGAAAACAGGATTCGTTTTCAACAATCCAATTGGGGCAAAATGGTACAAGAAGACGTGGCAAACCCAAGCACATGGCTTGCACGTAGTTATGGAAAGCATACGATGTCAAACAGAATGATGTTGTAGCCCTTAACGCACAGCACACATGCTGCAGCATGAATTCAAACTTGAAGTCTGATGATGTGCGAATAGTTAACCTCTGTGTAGGCGGCAACCGCCGGTCTCACAATTCTCTTTCACTGTGCCAGTAATCCGTATGTTAAAACTGATAACATGTTACATCTTACGTGTAAACTCTTGTTTGACCAATAACGTGTTGGCATAAGAGCTGCTGCTAACAAACTTTCCTTTTCAGTTTGTTTCAAAAATGAGGTTCCTGTAAAACCTTTGAGTATAAAAGCTTAAAATTGCATTGAGTCTATTAAATGAAAATGAAACCTTTGGACTTGGACCGATGTTGGAGGTGTGGCGGATAAACACGACAGAATAACCGGCAGGTGGTGGGACGGGGCGGGGGGGGGTGGAACTGCCGTGGGCAGCGAGGAGTGTGTAATTATAAAACGCTTAGGAATTATGTCAAGTAATTAGGAGAGAAACCGCGATATTCAAAAGTCAAATGACAGTCTTTCTGTGTTGCGGCCCGATACCAAATGGCCCACGGTTCAACAGTGTTGGGGACTGTTGTACAGTTGTGTCTTAAATATCTGGTTAATATTTATACTTCACACCTAAAGCCGGATAACTGAACTCCAACTTTTGTGTATTTTACATCGGCAGTATCACTAAAAATCGTGTTGGGTGTCCTCCCAGTACCTGGCGTCTGGAAGTTGATGCGTCTCATCTCCACGGGGTCTGTAGGGTGGTGGGGCGTAATGTCTGCGTTGTTCAGCAGACATTTTGTGCGCGGCTCGGACTCTTTTCTCTTGCGGCTGGAAAGCAAGAAGACAAACAAAGAGTAGAAAAGGGGGGGAAACGTAGAGCAAAAAAAAAAAAAAAACTTACAGTAAAACAGTCACCACTCTTACTGATGATGATATCTAAACAACTCAACCAGGTGAGAATCTCTGTGTCAGGTGGGAAAAATACTCCTTCACCTTCCCTAATTTAAACTGTTTGCTTCTGCTGTGGCAGGCTATTTTATCTTCCCCTCTATAAGGCAATAGAGTGCGGCTAAACCTTACCTGTCAGGTTTGCTGTTTCCAGAGAAAGCAATAGAAGTCAAATAAATATATAAAGATGGCGAAAACACAACACACAAGGAGAAAGGGAGAGGGGGGGGGGTGGGGGGCAAGAAGAGAGATGAATCAATAGAGAGCAGTTTAAAATTCACAGGGGTCGCTGCTGGGCTCGCTAAACACGAAATACAGCTCATCAGCATTTTGGAGGAAGTTAGTGCATGAGAGTGTGCGCTTGTGTGCACATGTATCAGTGTGTGAGAACAGGTGAGTATTCAATAACATGTGCAAGTAAGCGCATGCATTTGTGAGCTTGTGCCAATGCACGTGTGTGTTCTTATGTGCATGTGTGAGGGTTGCAGGTAAAGATGGGTGGGTGGGGGGGGGGATGTCAAAGCCAAGGGCAGACCCGGGAAACACTATTCACCAGGAAGAGATGGAGAGGGAGATGGGAGAGAAAGAGAGAGAGGAGAGAGAGAGAGAGAGAGAGAGAGAGAGAGAGAGATTCAAGGAGAGATGTTACTCCCCCTAACCACAAAGACTGAGGTAAGGCAAGGTCAGACAGTCAAGGATCATCTGACAGTAGCAATCTGTACTTGAGTTGCTCACATCAGCCCCTGTGAAATAATTCAGGGATCTTCCCTGGAATGTAAGGCGACCTCTCTGGCCACTGGGACCTCGGCTACGACCAAACACAAGAAAATGAGGGCGGAAATATTAACTGTAGATGGATGTTTGGAAGCCTCCGGTCAAAATTGAGTAGTAGTATGTCCATTTAGAATTTTTAGAATTTGAACATGGGGAGAGGTACCTTGTTCATTAGGGATGAATGAACCCTTGATTTCAACTAATGAAAAATAAGGTCACTCACTCCGGAAAAATTATTCATAGCATCAATCTTAAGGAAGTAACGTTTTTTGTACAACATTGGAATGACGACTTTATAGAGGATTATTTCCATAAGAAACGGGTATTTTAATTTGATTTAAATATATTCTGTAACGTCCCTTGATATGTAGATTGTACCATTCTTAGTTCAGCTATTGAGCATCATCTCAAAGAATCTCCTCTCTCCTTTCTCCAACCACCTCAATTCTCCCCAATCATCTTTTTCACAAAGAAAGTGTTTTCATATTTACATGCAACAATGTTGAGTTTTTTTTCATATCATGCTGAATACAGAATACAGCCCCTTTCAACATGCTCCCTAACATGCAATTATTTCCCAGCACCATTCCCCTGCAACACTGCGAATAACGTGTTCAACATCAAATGAAAGGAACAAATGTTCATTGTGTGTATCTTATTAGAAAGGAACACAGACTTCCAACACATTTACCCAAATTCAGTTGGATTGCAGCTTTAGTAAAGGAGAGGGTGAAGCAAGGCACTAACAATGCAAAGGTAAAGGGTTCAATTCCCCCGCTACCTTGATAAAAAAATGGTTGTAAAGGCCACGCACTAAAAAAACAGCAGTGCCTGGCATACATGTTATCGTCTCTCATTTGAGGTTGAACATTATCATTTTAAATCTCGAGGTCCAACTGCATTCGCCCATAAAAAACAAAAATGTCCGGACCAACTCACTTTTTATACAGGAGAATCGCGATGACGATGCAGATGATGAAGACCACGGCGAGGACTGGGCCCACCACCCATATGAGTCCGTCACCAGTCTCCACTTGAAGTGGTTCCACCTCCAACTTGGGAGTCATCACCGTGTCGGTGTAAGGGCTGGTAGCAAACGTTTTCTGAAACAGAACGATGAAAAAGTTAACGCGTTAAGATTCGCATGACCAAACCCCAAGCGAACTACGATTAAATGAGCCGGACTGAATTATTGAATTAAAGTAAGTTAACTGAACTGTGCTGAACTGAGCTAAACCAGTAACTCACCCCAGTGGCATTGAGTTCGGCCAACAGGAAGAAGACGTACTCCTGGCCAGGTTCAAGAGGCTTGTTCTCACAGCTGCTGTGGCGGTAGTCGGATCCCACAGTGAAGCTGGAGGGCAGCTGCCTGAAGCAGGCTGTGATGAAGGGCTTCCTCTGGTCCAGCTGCGCTAGCTGGCGGCGTGAACGTCGCTTTGGGGTCACCTCCCGCAACAGCTAATTGATGTAAATGGGGCATTAGTTTATCTTTGTTCATTATGTGTTTCACAAAGTATCCTTTCTATTGACTAATAGTCTTTCCTGATGTTGTCAAATGTTCATTTAAAATCTGTAAATAGATGATTTAAAAAGACCAAGAGAGGCAGATGCTTTAATAAGGAAAAAAAGAAAAACACACACGGCATCAGTAAGTCAACACTTCGATTCTGAAAACAAAAATAAACATTTGTCAATAAATAGAGTTCTGTACAATAATCACCTGAAATAACAAGGACCAAAGAAACCCATTTGACGTAACGGCACCTTTCAAATTCAAAGCAGCTGCTCAATCTGGCCATGTTTCTACTAACAACCCCCCCCTCCTCTCACCCCTCTCAATCATTTCAGACTGCAGACAGACGAAGGCACTAAGCAGACGAAATGTGTGTAATCCCAAATCCAATAGGGATGGTTGCTGTTGATCTGGCGCCCAAGGTGACCTCAAGCTATGGTAAGATGATAAGAGTGGGAGAGGACTGTGTAATTCTCTCTCTGCTGCATGCTTGGGGGGCTTGAATTAGCATAGCTGAGATGTACTTATGTTTGTGTTTGTGTGTGCCCGTGCCCGATACACGGTGTGCACAATACAATTTGCCCATGCAAAAACAAGTGTCTCTTGAATCCCTCCTTGGAAACACACGGTTTTGCCAACAGCGCAAAAGGAATTTAGTTTTCTTAACTTTGAAGCTGACTCCTATTAAAAATGCACAGTTGATATCATATATCTTTCGCCCGAATGGGTGTGTGCATTTGCTTTTTAAATATCTTACCTCTTCCATGTCCATGTCATCTGGATTCTTCAGGTTTTTGACAGATCTTGAGGTCCTCTCAAGTGGCACCACAACCACATAAAAGTTCCTGTTACACAGCATCAAAGTAAATTACAAAACAAGAGTCAGAGCAACACTTCATTGACTCTGTATGACGTTAAGATGAAACATTTGTCAAATGGTTGACGGGAAGATGGAGTCCCGATTCAATACTGACAAGGGGTTGAGCAAAGTGTCTCAGAAATCCTAAAGCTTAATGTGCAATTCCAACATCTCTGACATTTTCAGATTTCAATCCATACAACATCAGATCTCCAACATCTCAAGACTTAAACCTAAATGCCCCCAACCCTCAAGGATCATTTAGACAGCCTGCAGAACCCATCTTTCATTAAGCTTTACTCACTTGACATCCTTGTTATCGACCGGGGGGAAGGACATTGTGAGGATATTGTCAGGCTCAGCATAGATGTCCAGCTTGGGTTTCTTAACAAGGATGAGAGGTGCGGTCTTGGCAACCACACGGTGTCTTGGTCCACCGTCCGTGCTGTCTTGGCAGGTCACCCTGAACTCGTAGGTGGTGTTGTGCTTTAGTCCAGTGACAAGAACCCTCATCTGTCTGGCATCCACATCCATCTTTTGACGGTTGTACTCAACCTAAAGAGGACAAATGGTCCAGAAAATGAATTGCTAATCGGGAGGGATCATTAAGAGGGATAGTTGGATTCATGATAAATATAGAGATGAGTGATGAAAAATAGATGGTTCAGGGAATATGTTGGAAATAATGCACTGACAGAAACAAATGCATTAAAACATTGTGTAGTGTGAAATCTAGCCATTTCTTTTAACTTCAGATCAACAGATAAAGATATTTTTTTTCACTAATACTAAACTGAGATGACTTTTTTTTGGGGCCTTGAATTAAACTCACCGTGCATTTGTATGGAGACCTGCTTTCAGAGAACTTCCACGCAATGACTACTGTGGTTTTGGTGGCCCACTTGACCGTGAAATTCTTTGGAACATCTGTGGAGTTGAGAAATGGAATAAAACAAAAAACAAAGACAGCGCATCGTTAGCAAATTAAATTTATATGGTGACCCAAGAAAAATAAGCCAGAGAAGAAAGAAAATTATGAAAAAAAAACCGATGTTCCCCGGCAACGTTCCTTTGGGTTGGAGAGTGAGCATTACGGTGAGCTGCATTTGGTTGTGAGAAGGGCAACGCCATTGGTTAAGACACACAGCACGCAAGACTCATGGATGACAAACCCGTGGAGCACGAGGGTGTGCCCACCGGCGAGCCATCATAGGTAGTGCCAACGCATCTCAACAACGCGTCTTTGAACCCATGACCACTTGAGGATTAAACAACTGACCCGTGTGGCCCCGGTGCCAACTGTTCCTACTGAGTCTGGGTTGACACTGCCAATGGGCCGCCAGGCGGGCACAGAGACAGACTCAAAACACAGCATGCCAACAGTCCTCAGCAGTGCATCTGGGGGATGCCATGCCACACACTGTCCCACTCAGGGACAGAGGAAGGGAGAGGAGGAGTTTGGAAAGGAAAGGGGTGAGGAGGGGATATCTCAAAACAAACCCAAAACTATAAATGAAATAAAAAAAATAAAAAATCGGCTTTCTGTCATCTTCTTAGGATAGTCCAAACATACTCTTGGAGTGACTTGGTTTGACTGAAGTCCTACCTTGCTTGAAAACTGTGGATGTGAGAAGGCCTTAGCTGCGTGAGTGCGCTGGGGAAAAGGGCTGCAGAGACGACTGACAGGAGTGTCTGACCAAAGAGCACTTACCTTGACATTTTACGCTGCTTTCCTCTTTCTCAAATGACTGACTATGACTTACTGACTTTGCGTTACCTTGTTTGGGTTAGTGAAGTGAGTATCCCACGGCAAACAATTTTTTAATATCAATATTTTCTCTTTCTTGAGGAGAAGTGGAGGTGGTTGAAGGAGGGGTTGGACAAGTGTGTGTTGTCAAGATTTTTTTTTTTTGTGCAAATTTCCAACCCCCTGCCAACCGGGTTTGAGAAGAAACAGGCAATCCCTACCTGTTGGATCAAAGGCCACCGTCCGATACTGGATAGTCGGGCTGTATGGCCCCGGACCTACAATGGTATGTGCACGTATTTTCACATCGTACGCCGAGTTGGGTTTGAGGCTGTTGACAACATAGCTGCACTGGCTGGGGGGAAAGCGGAGCTCCCTTGATGCTCCTCCTGTGCCGGTTTCCTTATAGGCCAAAGTGTACTCTGTTATTACCCCGTTTCTCTCCGCCAGGATGGGAGGAGACCAGGACAGCTGCAGTGAGCAGCATGTCACGTTTGAACCCTCGTGAATTTGAGGGTATCCCCCGGGTGTCTTCTCGGGCACACTGAGTTCTACCACAGCCTCTTCACCAAAGCCCCCCCTGCTCTTGGCTGAGACTTTAAAGAGATAGGTGGCCCCCAGGTGAATGTTGACCACAGGGTACTGTCGTTCTTGGGGAGCAAATTCCAGTGTGGCCAAAGGAGAAACATCTTTCCGGCCAAACTGGAGCCGGTAACCCTGCAGGTCCATGCCGTTGGTGAAATCTGGAGGGTCCCAGCGAACCACAGCAGATGTTTCTGAGTCCTGTTCCACTGACAGATAGGGAAGACCAGGCACTGCACAGAATAAGAAAGGAAACAAATATTAGTTTTGCGGCTATTCCATTGTATAAGGACGAATATGTTTGAAGTGACAGGCTTTAATAATAAACATGTAGATATTTATCCCGATCTGAACTTTATTTAATTCATCATTTTGCGAGCAAAATCACACATTAGACCTGCACAATCCTACTTTAGTGGAGTGGACATGGACTACCAACAGATGATTTTAGAATATGTAAACAGATCTACACTTTTTACTATAGAAACACGCGATTTTTAATTCAACCATCCATCAGAAAATACTGGTGGAGTCAGGTTGAGTTGGATGAAAATGTTGAAGATCGTCGCAGCCTGTACATTTTTGAGGGGTACCATTCCTTTTTCATGATACATTTCGAGCAAAAATAGGTGCTGCAAGGCATCACTAAAACTCTATGCAGAGATCAGTCTCTTTCAGCCGTAAGAGTCATCTCTTCTTGTAAAATAGATGATCTACACTGGTGGTCCACTCTTCAGAGTGGCCCAGTTTTGCTTTTCTCATGGATGACAAACGTCTCATCCTAACTCTCCTTTTAAGGCCTCATCTGTGTGACGGAGGCCGCAGCAGTTATGGGAGGCCTTCACTTCTCAAGTTGCTGTCAAAGCTTTGTGAGAGATGTCTGTTGCTGATTTAAGCTTGAGCCCCATCTCTCAGTAAATAGATTCCATCTTGGACTAACTCATCTACAGTATGTCCCCTTCTTACCAACAATCTCCTTATGAACGTTAATGTATTTAGCAAAATGAGAATTGAAATCTAATAGAAAAAAAAATGTAACAACAATGATACATTTTGAATGAATACTAGATCCTCATTACAGCTGGAAGGTTACTTATTACTATACATACGTATATTATTTGATTCACCATTATAAATTGAATTTCATGGCTCTGTATCAACATGTGAGACCATTTGTGAGCAGATTGGCAATCTCTGTATATTTCTGATTCCAACAGCTAGCCAACTGGGTCGGCAAACTGGGTCGGCAGCAAATTGGCTTGTTCTGGCAGTGAGAGCTTTCTCAGCATAAATGAAAAAAGCTGAATGTGCCGAATACAAATGATTAACTCTATTTTAATGTGAAACATGAATTTCATCATTATCTTAAGCAGCGGCAATTATGGATGTTTGCCTTCTTCCTCACTATACATCCGCTGTTTGTTAACTGTACAATTCATTACGCATTTGAACCATTTTTCATATATTATATATCTTATAGTTTTTAGTACATTTGCTTGTGTGTGTCTTTGTGCATAATGGCCAGTGTGCATGCATGTGTATGTATTGATGTGTGTGAAGGTATCCAGCAGGCCCGGCTTTGCAGCCAGCGTCACCACACCATTCCACCTGCACACAGAGCGTTTTGGCATTTTGCCCAGTATGGACTTAAAGTAATTTGGAGCAGACAACATTAGTCTGAGGCAAGCGTACGCCTTCTCAGTGGAATAGTATCGTTGTACGTGTGTGTGTGTGTGTGTGTCTGTGTACATGTACCTACATGCAGTATACTCTTTGTTCCTGCGGCAAACTGCAAGTCATAAATGTGCACGGATTAAAACACACACACACACACCCACAAAGCAATCCACTCTACACAGTGCACTCCCTATGCTTGTATTGTTCATTTCCGTTTGCTAATGGTCTTCTTTCTGAGGGCTGCTGCCAGAGGAAGATGGGGGTTGGTGGGTGGATGGTGGCTAGTCGGCTGAGTCTTTGCCGGTAATGGAAAGGCGGGGGCGCCGAGTGTTGGGTGAGACGAATGCTCCTAATACTCTCCGGGTACACGCAATAGCTCAGCTTGGTGTCATTTAAAAGCCCACTCTGCCTTCATGTTCACTGCTAATCAAGGAAATAGAATCAGAGATAATGATCCTGTGTGTGTGTGTGTGTTTGTTTAACGGGGGGTGAAGGGGCTCCATTCTAAATTTCTATGCTTTGCTTCTAACCTTAACAGGCTCCCAGATACATCCATTACAACTTTTGTGGCCGGTTTTATTACTTGTTTGTGTTGAAGTGTTCTGCTATAGCTGATGAGAAAAAAGCATAGCGTGGCGAGAGGAGGAGATGAGTGAAGGTCATTGGGGCCAAGGAGCAATCTGCTGAAAAGAGGGCCCAATAAGGATATGAGGGGGCAGAAATGTGTGCGTTTTTGTGTGTGTGTGTGTGCGTGTGCTTTTGGGCTTCTTGAACACGTTGATTGTCCCTCTCCTCAGAGTTCATCTCTGTCCCCCTTGCACACTGGCCAATCCCTCTTTTCATTTGCTAACCACATCCCCCACGCACCCAGCGCCCCCGCCCCTCTTCATTTCAGGGTGGACAGTGGTTCAATCCCTTCTTGTGGGCCTCCCGACACGTTTCCCATCAGGCACACAGAATTAACAGCCGAATGTAGACACTTACTCAGCCTGATGGAGAAAGTGTCCATCAGGTTTCCCCCCTCATTTCCTGCCTCTCTTTTGGACAATCGCAGTAAAAAATATATACAAGAAAAAAACAGTGCGATGGTGCGCAGACTGTATATGCAACTGTGTATCTTTTTTAATGTCACCTTAAATGCAAGGTTCATGATAGAAACAAAAACCTTCCACTTCCACGCACGTTTGTGTGCGAGGAGTCTTTTCATACCGTGAAGGTTATGACAAATCTCTTCACTTCGTCCATCGTCATTTCCTTCAGCTTTTAATTCAAGTCCGAGTGAGTGTATTTGACCAACGTTCATGGAGAAGAGAAATTTGTCTGGTAGGAAATGTCAAATTTGCAACACATTTCACATGGCTCCTTTGAAGTGCGATTAAGGAAGCAAGTGAGAGAACACGAGAGAGGTTGAGGAGACAGCTATGACATTTGTGACCGGACAGAACTAACAATCAGGATGTTACTAGACATGTAATAAATAGATCAGGGCTCAAGTCAGTTATACGCAGCCAGTATTGAGATGACTATCCACACCTTTTTAAACCTGTATACAACGCAACCCTAAGTTTCTTTTTGCAGGATGTAGGAATCTAAATGTTGTGCAGTAAGGCTTAGATCGGTCATCCACTTGATTAGTTTGTTCTACTCTAGTTTTTTGAAAACTTTGTTGATCTGTAGGACAATGTATGTGTTTCACTTGAGTCTGAGCAAGAAAAGAAGATGGTTATTGATTACTGCTCTTGTCGGCCTCGTATAAAACTCCACAATGTGGATGGTGGAAAAACATTTCCAGACACAACCATTTAATAATCTTAATTTAAAATTTTGTCAGTGAAAACTCCTATTGGTCCCCATTGAAATGTTGCGTCATGTTGTCTCATGTTGTCCGGGGTGAAGTTTGTTTCTCAAAGCAAGAGCATGGAAAGTATGAATTGTGAAAAGAGACTTTTCAAAGCTGGTTTTGAACAAAAACGGTTTACAGCCACAGAATGACTGTTGTTTGTCTGATTCACAAACAGGTGAGCAGTTCTACCTGTTTTCTTTGTATTTTGTACAGGCTTTTTGCTATCAGAGAGGTTTGTTAGAATATCTTTGACGAGGAAAGAATGTATATCTACGTATGTATACTGATTATGTACTGATATAGATGTGAATCAACTTTTAAGTGGCACTACATCCCGCTCTATTTGTGATGACGTTCGAATATATTATATATTAAAATATGAATTTGGCTTCCCAACACATCCTTGACGCTTCGTGTTTGACTGTCTCTGGTTTTGGCGCCTAATTTGACAGGATTTCACCACATTGACCACACACTGTGCCTTAAGCATCACTACTAGCCGTTATGAATCCAAATGGAATGGGGCATTTTTCCTCACCACGTGCTTTAGAGCTTTTGCTGGCATTGGGTGTTCTCCCACAACACTCTATGTCTTTTTCAAATAACAATCCATTTCAATTCACTGCATTCGAGGGAATTCCAGCGAGCCAATGTCGGGCTCACAGTCTGTGGAAGCGGCGCGCTATAATGATTGTTGCACGAGCAATAGCCTGGCGGTTCACACCGGTTATGAGTTTCTCCAATCCCTTTGGCTCCTCTGCTTTCTACACAACGGGTCTCGCTCTCTCGCTCCGGTGCAGTTTTTCCACTTGTGTGTCTGCGCGTGGCGCTTGCTATTTGTTGAGACACACCTTTGCAAATATGTGGAATAAGGACATCACTTGAAAAACCTTATCACAAACTGCAGCGACACTAGTACTATATAATTTATATCATCTATGGTGTAACATTTTCTATCGCTTACATTGGAGAATTGGTTAGTTATCCTTGGCTTGCCACGATGACAAGATAAATGAAAAAAAAAAAAAAGGGGTTAGAGGTGGCAAGATGCAGTTTTCAGAGATGAAGCGGTTGTTCCCAGCGCCAGATTAGACAAAATAGACCCAACGCGAGCTGGCTTCAGCGCATCTTGTGGAATAAGCCCTATTGGTTTACGAGTGGCAGGAAAGGGAAGCGGGTAGCGCATCTCCAAAAGTCGCAGTAAATCAATGCCAAGTCTGGGGATGATGGACATGGTAATGTCAAATTTGTAAAATAATATATATATATATATATATATATATATATTTTTTTGTTTGTTTTAAATGTAATGTTTTGACAGTGAGAATGCACCCCACTAGGTGGTGCTCTGAGGCCCACAATTAGGCCACTGGTTGAAAAAAGCTGCCCCAAGTCATGCCAGCATCGATCAGAACTAAAAGGGACAAACACTTCATTTCCAAAAATTGCAGCTTCTTCCATTTATTTTGGCACCGTGGAAAGCCAAGGGTTTCTTCACAATTCAAACATTTCTTAACATTCCAATAAAACAAAGGAAAGGCTTTCCGTGTGAGGGACAGGCAGAGTGTGCTGGACTGGCAAGTCAGTCAGTAAACCCTGACGGGAGGAAGGATAATGTCAGCATTCACTCAAGCCCCTTTGGCAGAGTCACACTCCATGACACCTGCAACACACACGCCTGTCAGGTTTGGGGAAATTTGCCTTTGATTGTGTGTTTGTCTTGTTGGGACACTGCAGCAGTACGTGTGAAACCATTGGTGTGTTTGATTGTGCCACAGAATTGGTTTGCATATAATGAATTTGTGAGTTGGTGTTGGTAGGCATGTGTGTGCGTAGAATATATATATATATATATACATATACACACACACACACACACACACACACACACATACACTCATATATGTGAGCAGTAATGTGCATTTTGGCCCTGTGGACCCTCTCAAAGGTGACTGAAATAGATGCTCACACAAAAGGGCAGAATGCATCACGTTTTCTTAAGGAAGGCAGCCTGCTTTACAGGTTCATGGTTACCGGCTGCCGATCTTCCAATTAGAATGAAACTGCCGTGCTTTCCGGTGGTACCAGAGAAGAAACTAAAGTCAAGGCTTTGTAGTGTGCAGACATTAGCCTCCACCGTAGTTGAATTTACACCGCTGAATATGACTCAAAACATGTATTTGTAAAACAGAAATCTTAACAAAAGACATTGGATGCCTAATGCACATAAATAAATGTTCAGATTTACATTCATTTCTGTCAGATTTTCCAAATAAGAGTAGGTTTGGCTCAATAAAGGAATGACAATGTAGCTGTAAAAGATGATCTCTTGAATCAAAGGCAGATTGACAGCCCAGCAGGAGCACTCGGACGGGAATGATGAGAAACCCCTGAGCAAGAGACCATTCAGCCACAGGCTGAAAACGAATGCGCTACCTTTAGTGTTGCATGAACATATGCTCAGCAAACCAAGCAACAAATAAATAATTGATCCTGGGACTGACCTGGCCCTTTGGTCACCACCAGTTTGGGTTTGCTCCGGGCTCCATCCCCCTTGGTGGTGTACGCTGCCACTGTGATGGAGTAAGTGGTGTCTGGCTTGAGTCCTCCAATGACCATTTCCTAGGGGAGACATGGGGGGGGAAAGATGGACAGGAAAATGTCAAAATATGTCTTGAATTTTTGATGATTCGACCCCGTTCAAGCAGTTCAAACTGCTCTATACAGGATGTCAATCTATATGCCTCCAGGTTCGCAATGTTCAAAGAGCATGCAATAAATGGAAGGTTTCCCCCTGAGGAATATGGGTCCGTTCCATTAAGTTCATTTTTAAGAGTTACCAAGTTAGAGAAGGCACATTATGCATGTAAATGGAAGTAGCGCCTTCATTCCTTTAGCAATATTCCAAATCGACAACTTGACTTTGTGATAAATGCATGCTGAATACATCCGGCCCCGTCACTGGCAGTTTTTACCCCAGCCATTAAGTTTCCTTGAGTTTTCTTCAAAGAGCAGCTTCCGATCAATTCTAATGAATCTTTCAGAGGAGCAGGTTTAAACGAATACGGAATGAGGATTTTAACAGGCGGGTTGGCGGAGGAATGGGAGAGGTCAATAGAGGTAAATGAGCTATAAGTACTGTCTAGTACTTGAGATGGTATCCACGTAATGCAGATGGACTCCATATCAAATCTGGGTTCAAAATAAGGGTACAACTTGTTGAAAAAAAATAGAAATTGATTACCAGAGATTAGATGAGGAGTTTACAGTAGGTCAAACACGGCAGTTATGTGAACTACCCCCTCCATTTTTTGAATGACAATTTTTTTTCATTTTTCATTTGAGTTCAGGGAAGCCCATAAAAAAACGAGAAATAATTCTTGAACAAGCACAAGAAAGGAAAAAAGCACACATACACACCACCAGAGCACAAGACAAAACGCATCGTTTCAACACACGACACGACACATGTAGCATTAGCATTCCAGACACAGTGGGCAGTGGATATTGCATCGGCCCTTGTTTTGTTGAAGCTAGCAGGCTAATTATGTAAGTGTGTCCTTTCTTTTCCTGTATGGCGTGCAGAGGTATTCCTGAGGTTGGTTGGCCAGACAGCCGAGGTGAAACCTCTGAACCCCTTTGTTACCCGAATATATTAAATAAAGATTGGAAGGGTCACGTAGACGTGAAACCAAGTAGATTGATGCAATATCCACTTTTAATACCCGTTCAGCTACCAAAAGCACTCAGGCGAAACGTCGTACTCACATATTCAGCCGTATCGTCCGTTTCCCACTAACCCCCCCGCCAAAGAGGAGAGTGCAGGAGAGAAAGTAATCATTTTTTTTATTTTAAAGAAAGAAACAGAAAAGAAAAGAATAAATAGGGATGGGAGAGACGGGGGCATTAGAGGTTTGGAATCAGAGGGTTGGTGTCAGAAATAGGTCACTGGTTTTGTAAAGTCAGGAAAGAGGGAAGCCGTGTGAAGGTTTTGTTATGAGGAGCAGCAGGAACTGAGCGGCTGAGAGTTGTATAGGTCTGCCTGTTGGTCCTAGCGACTAAAGATACGCTACTTCAGTCACTTCAAATCATTGGTAGCTACAGGCAGTATTGATATCAAGATGCACTGTATGTGTGCTTTTAAGGGTTTAATGATGAGGACATTGTTAAGAATTATAGTAACAAAAAATAAATAATCTAGGATATTTTAATCAAGTTATTTAAACTCATTATAATCTTGAATTTCTGGTCAGTTAAATATTCAAATGTAATTTGACGCTGTTGGCCTTTTGGCCTTATTCCCCTAAATATGTAGAATTGCATGCAACCATTCTTTTGTGTGTTGTTTACTTCATTGCTTCAGGGCTTTTCGTTCCCATTTGGATGATTGCTACGGTGCACAAAAGTCTCATTTTGACAGAATTCCTCCAACAAGTTTTGTAAAAAGAAAAAATTGGCCATCAAACAGGGGTCCATTACAATTCTAGCTGTCAGTGCAGGCTGATTTTTGGTGAAACGTTTTCATGCCAATTTTTCTTTGCCCCCCCAAGGCAAAGAATACTATAATCAGCATTTCCTTCCTCTTCACATTGGATACAAGCACACAATCAGACATTTTATGGCATGTGTTGCTATAAAGGAGGGGTCTAGACATTCCTAATAAAAGCAGAGGGAGAACAAGATGAGTGAAGCTTTGATTACAGTTCTTGTGGTGGGCAAAGGGGAAAAGATATTGTAGCAATATGAAATGAAATCCAAAGGGGGAAGAGCACCCATATCGCTTTCCATACACCAGCAATGCCAGGCCACAACAGTGAGGTTGGAGTATACAATTTGCCCTCTGCTTGAGAAAAGGTTTGTCAATTTTCTTTGGAATGTCTTTCTGAAGTTTTAGAAAACTTCATCGGTGTGGCTTCAGTCTGCTTTATGGTCGAAAGAAGATCTATACCAATGTATTGCGAGAAAGAACAGCGTTGCTGCTAAAAGCACGGCTTTAGCCGGAACTTAATTCTTTTGAGATATCGGACTTCGACAAAAAACTGAGAGACGGTCTTACCTGGGCGTCGGCCAGCATGACGTCCTTGATATGGGGCGGGCCTCGGGACTCGCCGTTTTCCACGCGTACGTAGTGTACCTGGTAGCCACGGATCTGACCATGCTGCTTGCCTGGCGTCAGAGAGCGCCACATCACCTTTAGTGCTGTGGAGTTGAGGACCTCCACCTCTACTCGCCTGGGAGGAGCCCCGGGAACTGTGGGTGCCAAGACAAAAACTAAAATCAGATCAACTTGGTTATGACTAGAGTAGAAATATGGAGAAATTGCCATTCCTTATTAAACAAGTGCAGTACATAAAGAATACGGTGCCTTAGCAAAATTGCTCCACATACTTCACATTACTCTTAAGAGCAATGGAGGATGACGGGGCCACACGGGAAATGAATAAGCCTCTGATGATCCATAAAAGGTATCCATGAAATATGGCAGCAACTAGCAAGTATCTTTATCACAGAAACCCCCTTCCTGCCGCTCTCACACTGCCTCCACTTTCTCCGGTCTCCTCCACCTTGCGTCTGCTGTGTCTGTCTGCCATGGGTGAGACGCTCTCAGTCATAATGACAGGCCTTTATGGGAGGCCTTGCTGCTAGGCCTTTCGGCGTGTCACTGACTGGCCCTTTCTGAGATGGATGTGCCATTAATAGGACTCTTCCACTCAAACTGCTTCCATTTACTCGTCCACAAACACCGCGAGTCCTGTTCTTCCCCGCCCCTAAATCACAACCCCATTTCGCCCCCCCCCTATATTTCCCCGGATCATGAACCAATCTGGTTTATTACCTAAATCTTCTCTACCTTTTAGCCCAGACTCCTATTTCTTTATTTGCCACTTCTTTGTCTCACGTCATTATTGTAACCACACCAGCAAATGTGTCATTTGCTGTTGTCATTGCGGTGTGGCTTTCAACACTGCAGCTCCTGATACTGGTGTCTTTTAAAACAGGAATATTTAAGCTTATCTCTACTGCTCTCGTTGCACATCAGTGTCAGTACAATGCGTAACGTGTAATGGATGTGAAATGGATTGTGGAAAATAGAAAACAATGTCAGCCATCTGTCAGTGATTCAGAGTTTTTTTTGTATGCCAACAACTTTACTTGTCAGTTTATGCATTGCGTAGTTAAAATACTTTTCTAATTTGTCAACTGAGCTATATAATGTTACACCTTTTAGTTCTTTTACGGTTGAATTAGGTCTACAAGTATCTACACCTCTCTGTCCTTTCCAAAATGTGTGGTACACAATGGTTGCACGTGTAGAGGAGAGTGGAATAATGGTTAACGCTGCAAAAAATATATAGAAATGTGTCTTAATTGTTTGTTCAAAGGATTTAGCCTTTGCAATCCTAACATATGCTTTAAGTATGGGGATTCGAATTGCGACCTTAGAGGACACATAGCAGCTTCTTTACCTGCACACCCTAAATGCAGTGAAGTGCTCATAAATGCTTATGATCCTCAGCTGAGCAATGAGATATTGTTAAAAGCCCACAGATAGAGGATGTATAAGGGTTCTGGCAGCCATTCTGAATTACATTTGGTTGGTTACGCTTAAATTGCAACACACTTGATTTCCCAAGTGTGTTATCTCTCAACTCACAGTGTAGTTCCTGCAATGACAATGTGTGATACTTTCAAATGGTACACACATACACATACACAGACATGTATGCAACATACAACATTGTCCCCACACACACACACACACATACTCATCAACATTGTTGTGGATTCATTCTTTGCTGTTTTAGCTATCTGCTAAATATTCTCCAACTTGTTGACTTATCTATCTGACTCGTGATGAGGACCCACACAGCCTCACAGACCAGCAACCTCAGTAACACACACACCCACAGAACACACTGGACATTCAGATCCTTCAATTCACGGAGATTTATTGGAGCAACACACTCACATGAATCACGCTCTTTCCGGAAAGACACTGGCGAGCTGATGATACAACACGTTAGTTTATACATTGCTTTGACCATTCGATTGGGTGAAACCCTCCCCCCTCTCTCCTAACTGCACTGAACTATCTGTTTTCCCACCATTCTCCCCCTCATCCTTCACTAGATACCCCCCACCCTTCTTTCTGGTATGTTGATGTAGCCTGGCTCCCTTCACTCTGCCCTCGCCTGGGCCTTTGCAGTCCTTAGTATGGCAAAAACTCTTCTGTCTCTATGTCTCTACAACCTTGCAGTCTCATTACGTCTGGCATAACTGTCTGTGGGACTCCTTCCAGCTGTCCCTCTGTTGAACTGTAAAGCATCACCTACCTGGATATATCTACAGCTATATCCTTACTTGCAGAATTACATAGAAATTATTATAACACGAGTATATGTTGGAATATTGAAATATATTTTTCCTCTATACCATTCACCACCAAAAGCAAACTCTGGCAAAAACCGTGGATTACTTTTTTTCGACATGTTTAGCTACACCGGATAAGAGATTGATCTACCGTCTTCGTCTGTGCGGCAGAGTAGGGGCTCGCTCTCGGGGCCTGGCCCGATCACAGTACGGGCAGATACAGTGACGCGGTACTGGGTCCATTTCTCCAGTCGATTCAGCAGCACCACGTCTTCAGTGGGAGGGACTCTGGGAGGGACTCTGGGCTCCTCCATGGGCTCTCCATCGTCACTGCCGCCCTCTGACGGGCCCACCACCTGGTAGCGCACCCTGTACCCCACCAGGTCACCGTTGTGACTCATCAAAGGCGGGGGGCGCCAACGTACCAGCAGGCTGGTGGAGCTCGGGCTATGGCACTTAATGTCTTGAGGGGGGGCTGAGGGCTCTGGTGAGGTGGAAAGGACAGGAAGGAAGGGGATTCGAGGACGAGGAGGAGGGGGAAAGTAGGGGTGAAAAACAAAAAAAATAAAAAGATGGTAGAGATAAAGCAAAATGATAAATGGATAAAGAAAATAAAAATAAGAGTAATTCCCAGAAAAATCAAATGCAAAACACACATTTAGGCAAAATATGTTGTGAAATTAAAAAATCATCAAGCAAATGTCAACAAAAGAGGCATTAATGGACAATGGCAAAAGCTTTTGTAATAATGAATTAAGGTGGATTCCCTTCCCTGCTGGGCGAGTAAACATTTTAGGTTTTGGTACAAGAACTTTGGCATTAAGGTCTCAAAAGTATCATGAGGTTGAATTTATTCGCTTGAGCACTCAAGTAATACTGCTTCCAGGCAAATCTTTGTTGGATATATTACAAAAATAATGTATCCTGTCGCACCAACGTCACAATCTCCTTCCACATGTCCAACACGGCCCATTTGTTTGTCCTGTAATGTACGGCATAACGGCAGGCGGGACGCTGTTTTGTTCATGTTATCTTTGTTTAAGCCTGTATCGACATTTTAAATGTTTCACAGTACAAATCTATGCAATTATTGCTTGGTCTCGCTATTAGCATGGCGACTAATACCATATTGCCATGACCATAGAAAACGCATTAAAAAGATGGATATGTAAAAATATGTACCCTGCTGGTCCAGTTGATAAAGATTTATCTGAGACAGTATTATATCCATTTTACGGAGATGATTTTTGTCCCAGAACCTTCAGGCATGAACTAAAACACGCTATTTTTCCCTGAGTATTTGCTAGCAGGGAGGAAGTGAAGTCCTTTTTAATTTGTAACAGAATAAAAGCTTTCCAACATGGTAGCTGTTATTTGTGTCTGAAGTGTTCTTCCAAAACATATTAAAACCTACACATCTGTGAACTTCCTAAATCAAATCCAACGCCTCTCGCTTCTAATCTGTGCCAAGCTCTTACACAGTTTGTGCTCGTCCAGAGAGTGTGCTGTGCAGGGAGCGATAAAACGTTCACTCTCATCCAGAGTTTGGTGTTATACGGATAAAACGTATCAAACTATTTCTATCCAAGTCGGGTTTCCTCATCTACTATCTAGATTTTGTCTCCATCTTGCTATAAAACACCCAATTCATTATTACCTTTTTCTGTTAGGTAAGGTAAAAATAGCACAATAATCCGCTCCAAAAAATGAAATACCATCACAAAAAAAGGCATTCCACACAAATTAGTGAATCAACTCAAATGAAACCCATGGAAACAAGGAGCATGTTCTCATTCCAAAACAAAGTAAAAAATGATGAACTGAAGGAGGGTACTGGGAAATGCATTTCTCTGTAACCCAGGTAACTCAAAGGAAAGATCCACAGTTGAGGTTCAAAATGACAACTCATGAAAAAACATGAAAAAAACAGATATTCAGCATTGAAAATAGAACTGATTTGACTTCCAAAAAACAACTAACAGACAAAAATAAATCACAAGCATTTTTTGCATCATACGTACCTGATCCCACTATTACTAATTGGTTTAGACTTTCTTACCACCAGCACCTGACTAGCAGAGTGTGCTTACTCTGCAGCCAGTGAACTGAAACACTTTCCCTCTCAGAAAGCATGCCGTGACATATATTTCCGTTTCGAATGAGTGAATAATAGCTTCAATTTCGACTCACTGAGAGTTAATTCTGGACCCATCTTGGGTTTATTGAGAGGGAGAGAGTTGGCTCTGTGCTGTTGCCAGGGCTGTTTATACTCATGTATCTGTGGTCTGGAGGGTCCACAAGACTGTGAGAGGGAAGGCCATGGGGGAAAATCTCTCTCTAAGATATTCTGCTCTTCTGCACATGTAAACGGACAACCATATTATTCATTTACTTTTTAAAATAAATCCCATTGCATAGCCTCGTGCCCTGTTTTCTGTAAAGCTTCCATTTTCAGAATGACAAGTCACAATAATAGAGGAAGCAAGAGAGAAAGCTTGTATTACTAAATTCATGAAAGTTTAAACAACTGACTAGTGTCACTTTGGGTGGACCAGCTTTTAAAAGATAAAAAAAAGAAAAAACAGGGGTTCTGACTATGACAACGGCCTGAAAAACTGAAAAATGAATGTTCCAGCACACAACAAATAGGGCAGGACCTCAGCCACAGTTCCCAAAACCTTCTCTGTGTCCAATGGGCTTATTTACTTACGGTCTTACTGAATTTTGAGCCCTTCGGTTTCTTTCCTTCTCTCATATTGTATTTGCAAACTCTTCACGTCAAGAATGAGTGCTCAGTTCTCAATCTTGGTGGTGCGGAAAAGGCTGTGAATCTGACAGGGGCCAGGCTATCAAAGTGCACAGGCATCCTCATGCCTGATAACAGCTGAAGACTGGCAAAGGCCCGGCTTAAATGGAGTGTATATCCCGTTAAGGCCAGTGGTGGGATTATGGATAGAAGAACTACACCCACAATAGAAGAAACTCAGCTAATGCCTTTCTAGAGGTTCATTTGAAGCTCCTCTGAAAAGAGTTTCCTAAAAGCTATTTGACGCATAATTATTCAAGTCTGAATTCATATCCACCTCTTTGACTTTGACTTCAGCCTGTTGTGATATGAAGACTTCTGGGTATAAAGTCTCTAATGTCAAGTACTGGTGCCATATGTAATCACCATGACTACCTTACAATTAAACGCCTTTAGTGCATCATCCTCAGTGGAAATTAATGGCATACATTTCTTACACTTCTTGTTCTGTTGTCAATTCCTCAAATTGACACAGATCGCCAATGCTTTTGCTATCTAGAGTATCAGCACATGTCTGCATTTGAATTGCATAAGAAGCCTTGAATGACAGGATGTTCATATTTGTTGATCATTATGGAATTAATCCCCCCTGGTGCCAAATGGCCGTGCTGTGGCTCACACAGATATTCCAATACATCTAAAAACCTCCTGCAATTAGAGTAAGTGGGGTGTGGGGGAAGGGGGGTGGGGGGGGCTAAACTGCTTGTTTCGGCTAAATACAGAGGATTTAGAATCTGCCACTTTAATTTGAGCGATAGCACTTGACTAGCTACAGGCACGTTCTAGGTATAATCTAAATGTGTAACAAAGCCTGACAATCCACCGGCCGGGCTCATAGCTCATTTCGAAGCATGACATTAATTCTGACGCTATGAAATGGGATTCCTATCTGCAGTCCCGTATAACAGCTCACAGGGTCCATCTTAGGTCCTGCTTTGCAGCAAAAAGAACACGGGGAGCCCTCCCAGCTCTCGGCTTGTGGACCACCTCCGGGCCACATCGAAAACCACCTCACAGAAACAGTCTCGACCTGGTCGGCTATGGCAGCATAACCCCAAGAGGCCTTGCTTCTGAATGAGGACTACAGATGCCCGTGACATCCCGGGGACTTATTTCAGCCTGCTTTAATATTCAACAATGATTGTGGTGCTCTTTGCTTTGAGGAGTTGTTTGGCATCACTCCCCATGATCCAAATAAAGACTTGAGATGTATTGACAGTAGTAGTCACCATGACAATGGCCCCTGGTAGTGCTGCTAGGACTAGGCAGTCAAACTTCAACAGTCTGATTTTGTACCACAGAAAATGGACAATAAACAGAAGAATCATGTTGTCCGTCTTTCTTTTTACTCAGTGGAAAAGGGTTTCAGTCTGCCAGATACTGTATTTGGGTTCAGATCCCAGTTGAAATAGTTCTGTAGGAATGTGAGGAGAACATGGCATTTACAATGGGAAAATCAATTAAAAAAAATATTTTATTTTAACGCAGTTTATTTCCTTTTTATTTGTTTAATATATAATGAATGTTCAAAAAATAACTGCAGCTAGTTTAGTGAAGAAACCAGGGCTTCCTCGTAGGAGGGTACGGTGTGAGATTATTTGACATACTGTACATATCAGGGCTCTTGTGTGTGTCTGTGTCAGCCTCTCGCATAGTGATTGCACAGAACTCGGGAGTCTGGCTTGTGTCAGTTCATTGCCCTTGAACTTGAGAACGATGTTTCTTCTTTTCACTGTCTGTTTATGTGTTCCATGTTTATACAATGTGCCCTTTTCTGTTGTTTTTCTCCAAACTTTCCATGCTACGCTATGCCAGGAAACCACTCAATTCAAGCTTTACATTTTACACAGCTCTTCGCCGACTTGGATACATAGAGACATACAGATAGGTGATTATTTCTGACATGCATAAGGAACCTAACAGAATACATGTAATTTTAATATAAACCGGATCATGGATTAAGAATGCTTACTATAAGCTTCCAATTCTATAATGGTGTTTAAGAAAAGCACAGCAAAAAACAACTGTTGATTCAATTTTTTTTTTTTCTGAAAACGGCAGACTGAATCCCTTAACCTCTCAATCACTTACCTCAAAGGATCCAGAAAATCAAGTTTTTAATTGTGTGGTGGGAAATCTTTTGCTCTGTCTGACTGTGACTTTTCTGACCTCAGCAGTGAGAAACCAACGGATGTATCTTACTCTTGCTTGAGCAGAGACTTGATAAAATCCTAAAAAAAATATATTGGCTGAGAAAGACCAGGGATAATGAGGCCTCGGGCAAAATGAAATGGATAGAAAAATATATAAAACTGTACTAAACAGTGTTTGATAATCGTGTCATGGAAATCTCATGGAGTCTCTTTCTACACAATATTTAGTAATATTTAGTGAGATGATTAATACTACAAACACACATCTTTGCTATTTCCATGACAGCGATTATTAACAATAGTTTTCCTTTCTATCTAATGCAATTGTATGAATGAGGCAGTTGAAAGGAGGAACCTTCATTTAGACTTTTTCTCCCCCATTTAAGAACCCAAAAAAGAGATGAAAATAGCTGCAAGCTATCGTTTGGTGTGATGTCAAACCTATATCATCTTTGATAACCCAGAAAAAAATGAAAATAATAAACAAATAAAAAAATAAAACCGAAAACCTTGTTTCAAAAACACTCAAAGTAAGAGGAAGAGGACACAAAGTGAGCGAGGAGACGTAAAGCCATTCCGAGGAGGGATTTTGTTCCATTGCACAGGGGAACATGTAGCAGAGAGAGAAACACAGCTGAAATAGGGGGATGTAAGAGAAAGTGAGAAGTGTATCCAATCCAATCAGCTTGCAGGTTACCGGTCAAGAACAAATGCAAAAGCAGTGGTAGGGAACACACAAACACACATCAATAGGTGAAGATGCGCACAGACACCCGTGAGACACCAAGACAGAAATGGGCCCAAATGAACATAAATTATTTTCATGCCGTGACGGTGAAAGTTTCTCTCGGCAGCACCCCCAGTGCGTAGGAGTGAATATCGCATGCAACTGGCGCTCTCCTCAGTGACTATGCACCAGCGGTGTAGCTCTGCTGCTCAGCAGTACAAAAAAATAACTGTGAAGTGGTTGTTCCAAAGCCCCCACAGCCCAGTTGTGGGGGCACATCCAACAAGTTGCACTGGTAGAAACAGAAAATGTGTTAATAGAGGTCTTCTCCCACCGCCATGGCTTCCCTTTGTCTCAGTAAAGGTCAATTTAGGTTTCTATGTAGGTCAATCTAGGTTTTTGAGTTTAAAGGTAGTAACTCTGACAATGAATGTATACATGCAACTGTGACCGGGTCCAAAATTACTACATTAGACCGACCCCTAATACCTTAAATCTAGCAAAATTTACCATTTATGTAATAAATGTCAATGCACAACATTATTGTTGATTATTGTGTGCTGTGTTAACCCAAAATACATACATTTCATTCCCCGGCATCACAACAGTCCTTAAGATGCTATTTGATATTTGAGTGGATTAGCTGGGTGTACTTTCTTGAGATTGCACTAATAAATTATCATACCACTCCTGTTATTTTTAGCCAGCTTGTTTAAATAATGCAGTTATTTATGCTTCTGCCTTCTGTGAATAAAATAAGCTGTGCGGAACTGATTAATGGAATAAATTCAGGTAGTGGGCATATGTATACTGATTTTCTTTAATGACTAACTCATCCCCAAATCCCCAATCTGAAAACCATTCATATGAGAGCCATGGCAGTCTTAGAGGAGAGCTGACATTTTTTGTGTCTCGGTCACATGGAGAAAAGTGCGCTTGCTGTTGGAAAAGGATAGGAAAAAGTAAACAAAAGTGAAAGGCAAATAAGTAACCGCCACAATTGTCAATCGAAGTAGACGTGATTTGTTTTAAAGTGTTGGGTTACCTCATGCATGTTTGACACTAGAGGCAATGTATGCAATTCATTCTAAAATAAAAGATTGGTAAAACATTGAACGGGGCGATTATTCGAAAAATAAGGTGGAAAATACCATAATGTTTTGTTGCATCGAGGTTTACCAAGAGTTAGTTTGTAGTTCACCATTTTTTCCATCAGCTTTGAACCATAATTGTGTCAATGAAAAACACAATCACAGTTTAAAGTTGATGACGCAGTTGACATTAGAGAAAATAAAGTTTACAACTTTATAAAGTACAAAATCTCATCAGAATTCAATTCAATTTGCGAAGCCACAAATGATTTAACTGCATTCTTTGGGAGAATCACTTTGTTAACCAGCACACAAAGAGAACATGAGAAAAGACTAAATAAAGCGCTACATACTGGCTTGCAAGGTCTTCTGCAATAAGTCATTGGTGAAGGCTCCGATTCCTTTGTTAGAGATGGCTGCCAGTGAGAAGTGGTACTCTGTGTTTGGGCGGAGATTTTCCACAACGTATGAAGACGCAGGTCCAAATGATTTCTTCATCTGTTGATGGAGAGTATTGTCATTGGTTTTAAGGAATTATTACATTGGAAGGGATAATGCAAACCTCTCAGTGCAAAAGGCAGACACTGAAACCTGAAACGAAACACCAAAAGTCTTACCTGAGTGCCAAAACTGCCTTCCATGTAGCGGAGTTCATAGGTTATGATTCCTTCTTTCTCATAGGCAGCTTCCCAGGTCAGCTCGATGCTGGTATCAGTAAAAGCCCCAACCTGAAATTTGGATGGTTGACCTGGAACTGAAAAAAATAGCAGAGGACATAGTTACAAAAATTGCAAGTACAACATTTTTTGCAGTACCTTTTTCCTGTACACTGACAAAATAGCAAATTTCCTGTCAACACAACACGATGAACAGAACAGAAAACGGCACCAAATCCGAGAGGATTAAATGGAGTCAAATTGAGAGGAGTAGATAATAGCGACGTAGAAAATGTGTCCCCCGATGGCCAGCATGGTATGAGTCCTCAACCTTTTTTGGGGTTACTTAAGTTTGACCTGCCCCTTTGTCCTAGCACGATAGGGTGATATTTGTTCTCATATTTTGGTTGTTTCTCAATTATGCCTGTTTTTTTTTGGACTGTCATAATCAAAGAGATTTCTGTCATCATTTGCAGAGGCTGCAGATGTGTGGGTGAACCTTGCACAGTAGGGAAGAAAAATTGTCTACTTGGCAGCAAGCACGGTCTGTCTAGAGTATCAGGACTGATGCAAAAAACAGCTGAAGATGTTCTTCATTGCCACCTGACGCAGTGAGCTACAGAACTAATTTAGCACCATTTCCTGCATCACTTAGTTTAAAACTAATTAGAATGCTTACACATACATGACATTTGGCTGCAGTTTATCCCTTACTCTCCACATAGTGTACAGACAGTTTATTTATACAAATAAACCAATGTTGGAGTGACCAGTTGGTTTGAACTTTGTAGAGTGCCCGTTCTTCTCAAAATTTCCAAACATTAAATTCAAAAACAGCAATGAAATAAAACTATATTTTACAGTTCTAACACAAAAAGATGAAATATATTTACCTCCTTGGAGTACTTTGACGTGGATGGGCTCTGAGAAAGGTCCGTCGCCTACAGAAGTGAATGCTAGCACTTTGATGGTGTATGTCTCTTGAGGAACCAGGCTCTGGACAGTGGTGATGAGGCTGTCCTGGACATTATGGATCTGCCACAGGCTCATCGGTTGGGAATCGTCCATGGTGTAGTAAACACGGTAGCCCTTGATCTGCCCATTGGGCTCCTCTGGCTCTTCCCAGCGTACCATCATGGTATTTTGGGATATGATCTGGGCCTGTATGTTTCGTGGTGGGCTGGCGGGGGCCTGTTCACCGGTCCGGGTTTCTACCGGCTCACTGGGAGGACCCTGGCCGATTGTGTTGACCGCTGAGACGCGGATTTCATACTCGGTGTTGGGGTAGAGGCCACCAATGCTGTAACGCGTGGTGGTGATGTCGTCCACCGTTTCGTACTTGCTGTCTGGGGACTTGGCTCTATACTGGATTATATAGTAAGTCACTGGGTCTGGGTTACCCGAGTCCCAGGTGATAGTCACACTGGTGGCAGTGGTTTCTGTAACTACAGGGGTACCTGGAGGCTTGGGAAGAGCTGTTACAGTGACAAAAAGAAGGGAGACAGAAAATCATCATGACAATGAATAATTCTTACTTACTTACAGGACATTCTTTTAATTCCGTCACAATGCCCCCAAAGATATTAAATCGACACACATTGCAAGTGAGGCTTTCCGTTCATCATTCCACACGTCATTAATATTGAATCTTCTTTTAAATGACACCTCTTCACAAGCACAGTTATCTCTTACATTTGACAGTGATCTGCGCCACAGCTTCAATGATGCCGAGGCTGCTCATAGCCACGCAGGTGTAGTTGGCTGACTCACGGACGCTGCTCAGTTCGAGGACATTTCTGCCCACTGGCATCTCGTCCTCTGGTGTCAAATCCTCTGCGTTTAGCATCCACTTGACGTAAGGCATGGGCGACCCCACCGCCACGCACGTTATGTTCACACTGCCACCGGGCATAATTTCCTGACTTGTTGGAGGAATGGAGAAGCGTGGAGGCACCCGCCGGACTGGGAGGAGGCATGAGGAAGGGGAGAGGATGACAAAAGAGGGCAAGGGAGTCAAAACAAGAGAGAAAGGGAGAGGTAACAGGAGAGGCCGATGAAAATTGACCCTTTCTCGAGGAAATACTTAACACAAAAAGGTTCAACATGGTACATGTGAACTGAAACACAAAATAAAAGAAGTAGACTTCTCAAAACAGAAAAAATGTACAAAAAATGAAAAGGAACTAAACTAACAGAACTGCTTCAACAACAAAGTAGATTAACAATAAAGCAACGATTTATAGCAACAAGGTTCCATTGACCAATATTTGACCCATCACAGCACAATTAAAGACACAAAAATCTATTATGAGTTTCTCATCTTTGGAACTGAACTGCTGGTATATATGTACACGCCTGTACCATAACCTGATCACAAAGTATGAACGTGTGGAGTGAGGCCATGTGATGATGCTTTCACATAAACCATTGCAACCTGGAACTTCCTGTCCTCTCAGGCACACATGCCAAACAGGAAGTCGGCCATTACAGGCTTCTCCCACAGCACAGGAAGTGTAGGGTTACTATTGACCATCTCTGCAAGAGATCTAAACACATTCTAGTAAAGGTTTGCACTTGAAGCCTGTTTCTTCTACCTTGGTATCTTAAAGATGAGAAACTTTAATCAGATTTTTGTGGTTTGGGTAGATCCACTGGACAAAGCCTCATTAAGATCTGACACGGTTCCATTGATAGATGCAGCTATCAGTTTCACAGACAGCATGCATAAATAGACCGAGGTAAATTAAGGAGTAAATTATAAATAAATCAGATATAAAAATTGAGATAAAATGCATAGAGGAATATAACTGAAGGGTCGCTAGCATGCCCAGACAAAAGACGATTGGAGAGGAAAGAAGAAATACAAGATAGAGGATAAAGCATCTGAGGAGAGGAAGAAAGGGAACAGAGGAGCAGAAGGGGACAGAGGAAGAAAAAGAGAGGGGAAGGTTTGGAGGAGGGTGAAGGGGGGTAACCCACTTCAATGCTTTGTAAACTTTGTTTATCTCCAGCAATGTGACGAAATGTGATGGTGGCACATTGTCACATCGCAGTCCCAGTTAACACAAAATAAGTATTGAGGAACAAGGTGTGTGCCTAGAAATACATAGAAAAATATATAGTTGTAGCTAGAGAGTCTACTATCACAGAGTGTTGGAGTCAAGAAACAGAACTGGATCAACAGGGAGTAGAAATCCAGAAAACACGAAAGAGAGATGGAGGGCAAGGGAAAGAAAAGGCAGGTGAATGAGGGCAGTAGGTGAGCGAATAGAGAAAGACGGGGAGGGGGGACCTCAAAACTCATGAAAGGATTTGAGTGGAAGGAGGTTGATAATGAGTCTTGAGACGGAGTGGAAGGGCGTGAAAGGTACTGTGTACTTGCATGTGTGTGTGTCCGTGTATATACATGGATGTATATATTCTCTTTGTTGGTATAGGCATGAGTGCGCGTGTGTACAGTATGCAAGGGTTAGAGATTGAAAGAGTATGAGTTAGCAAAAACATGAGTGCGTTCATGAAATGCATCCCTTCAAGCACTTGACAAATAGTGTCGTACAGGAGGTTGCTACATACAACCCAGCATGAGCATGTTATTTAATGAAGGATTTCCTGGCCTATATACACATCTCAGGAAATATAAGTCTGCTTAGGACATGAGGAGTTAGAGATTGCCCAGCTGTTATTTGGTAAAATGCCAAACTTCCTTCACATGTGATAGAAATAAAGGCGTTTTACACACCTGCTGGATAAAGGTGCCACCTTGAAAGATAATCCTTCTTGTGGAATAAACAAATAATGATCAAGATTTGATCACAAAACCCCCCATAATATTTAGGTATATATTTCAGTTATTATTTAAGTTATTGAATTCACTAAAAATATACGACTTCCATGTGTAATTATTTTAAACTCCTTTCCTACGATTGCTGCAAACTAAAGTATCTACATCTAGACAATATCGAAATGTTTGTTGGGATGCAAAGAAGGCCAAAGAGAGAGAAGCAAAGTAGTGCAGGTGTTAAAAATGATGAACTAAATGGTAAGAGCTGACTTAGAGACAGACAGATAGACAAGACAGAAAAGACAGGGACGAGAGACAGGGCACGAGGCAGACCAAAACAGACTCGAGCAGCAAGACAGCAGACAGGAAGACAGACAGAGTGAGACGGGCAGACAGAGTGACGGATGGGCACGCAGACATACTGTACAGGACGCAAAGGGGAAGGGGTTTGGGTGGTCGGAGAAAGGGAAGGAGCAGGAGGAGGAGGAGCAGGAGGAGGAGGAGGAGGAGGGCATAAGTGGGGTATAGAATAAAGGAGACTGTGATTATAAATCAAAACAAAACAAAACATGGCTCAAAAGTGGGTTTGGAGGTCTCACACACTGGGGCTTGAAAACAAGAATCAACTGCACCTCACTTACTCCCTCCTTTAAACATCGCACCTCAATGCAAATGTTAATAAGTGGTAAGGTGGGCAGAATGTGAGGTATGTGTGAGAACTGAAGGGGGGTGGGATTCAGTGGCAGGTAGGGGTTGGGGGGTAACAGCGTGGGCATCAAGGATAGGTAGCATTCCAAAACACACCGTGTCGATCCAAATGGGATTCATATGATCGTTGCCTGGGACACCTTTTACCAACAAACTAAGGGCACAGATATTTACACCCGGAGTGTTGAAACACCCTGAAGGGACTTTTACCAGAGAGCTGACGTTTACTGACCTGAGCTCTGAAAGAATTACCAAAACATATATGCAGCATGTTTGGATGTTTTCAACTGGCACTAAACATGTTACGTTTAATGAATAAAGCCATCTAGCAGTATGCACAATATCTACCAAAATGTATCTACTGTTACTGGCTTTTAACAGCCAAGGCATATTTAATAGTATAAAACACAAGCATTTTGATTTACATGTAAAAGTACTTATTACATTGATAGTCAATTATAGTTATACAATTAATTGAAATTGAACATGGGTCGAGAACCTTCTGCAGACAAAGCTTTATCAAATTTATCCTCCTCTGTACGACTTTGTATGCAAGTTCTGTAGTTCACGGTAATGTATATTATGTTAATACCTGCGCAAGACACAACCTGACCTTGAGGGCGAAAACTTCAATGCTGACCTTTGAGGAAATGCTCTTTTGTGGTAAGAAACTCACACACTTATTAGGCATAAAACGTACCAAGAAAAAAAGTCTGCTCCTGAAAAAATGCTCCATGTACTGGAAGTGTTATGCCTCCATGAATGGATATAAAAAAATGTTGAAAAAATATCAAAGAAACATCATCTGTTCTGCCCTGACCTAAATGTGTAAAAATCTAATTAAACAATGTAAGCATGACCTATTGATTGATGCATTACGCTGTGTCTAATTGTGACAGGTATAACGGGATAATGTCTACTAAGACATGTTCCTTCCAAAAAAACACGCTGAACTGAAGAAAAAAGCCAATAATTTAGGTACACAAATGTACCTCTGCATTATATTGTGTCAACAAAAAAAAAGCCTAATTCAACAACAAAGATGGAAGGGCAGCCAATTCCTCACACAGACATGCATGGGTGTGGCTATTGCATGAGTGACATATACAGGTGCGCCCCCATCCACTCGGGCAGACACCAGGGAACCAATACAATCCAAAAATGTCACCCAAGCCCATCCAAGCATGCCTTTCATTCCCAAATAGAGCATTGTTCCAGACACACACAAAACCAAATGAAAGGAAATAAATCAAATTGAACAACTCCACGAAAAGAACTTTGTTTGATCAGCATAGACAGTAACAGAGTGCAGCTGTGTACAAAGAGGTATGCATCAATACTATTAGATGTTTTTCAGCTTTGATACGTATTCGCTTTAATCTCGTCTCAAATCGAAAACATGAATAGGGTGACCAGGGTCTTTTTTTGAGGGGATGTGGGGTAAATGTCTAATCAAATTGTGCCTGATGGCAGTGTTCTTTCCTCCCTGATACTCAGGTTAGCTAAAGAACCTGAGTGAATGAGGTGTTTCCCACAGCAAGATGTCTCTGTATCTACACTTTCAGGGAAATGAGGGAACGATCACCAGCAACCTGTCACATACGGGTCCTTTTTCGGTTGTGACTTTGGCCAGTGAAATTTAAAATAGATTAGATCAATGCGCCAATGCAAAAAACAGGTCCTTTCTCAAAGCTTTCGTGGCACTGGGGAACAAACAAACGGAGATGGTCGGGGAAGAGTCTACCTGAAAACGGCACACACTGTGTGTCCAACACAAAAATACATTTGGTCTTTGGTTGCAGCAGAAGATCAAGAACTCAAGGTCAGTTGATACTACAGCGATTCATGTCTTTGGAGGATATAACGATGCATTTTAAAACCAGCAGGTACGTAAGGAAAAAAAAAAATCAACTATGAGTCTTAATGTCATCATCAAATGTAAACGAATCACTGCTGTATCATTAGCTAAACAAATGCCTCTATGCGATAACTGATATTCAAGAAGCCACCTATGCTGTCCTACTATCAACATGTAAAGCAAACAAGGAATCCCAATTGCATGGACAGGCTTCCCGTTCTCAGAGACCAGTCGGCCCATTTGGAATTGTAAGAAAATAAAACGGACAAATACCTTTTAATTTGGACACCTAACAACATGTGACCTTTTTTTTCAAGCCCCAATGTGGAGAGATAGACAAGAAGCCTCACAGTGGACGAGGTGAAAAGCAGTCGAGAGAGAACGCCAGAGTACCGCACGAACTCTATTAGTGGGCGGTGTTGTGGTGGGATTTGTGCCAAAAAACAGAGGTCAGAAGGTGGACATTATCGGCCATTTTGGTGAGGCATATTTTGCTGCCCCAAAATGAAGGGGGAAGCCGAAATAATGTGCAGCCTTTAGTGTCACCTTGAAGCTGAGATTACACCCTCTTGCTTGCCTGAGGACACAGGCGCGGAATGGAGATCCTTTAGTCACACTTGCTGGGTTCGGCCTACTGCATTCATAAACCACAGGGGTCGACCGATATTAACATTGGCTGCGCAAAAATTAAACAGTCACTATTGGGGCCTTGTCAAAATGGAATTTATTACCAAAAGGGAAAATGACAGGAATCATCGCAGGGGAATCTAATTATTGCGAGCAACGGATTTCAGAGTCTATGACTTTTTCCTGCTTTACAGGAATGACAAAAATTATCCCAATGTTACGGCCAGAATGTCCCCTCACTGCAGTGATCCCTTCAGTGAATATTACCAGTCAGATTGAGAAAGGGAGCATATTCATATATGTTCATTGGAATAAGAGGTAATGCAACTTTTGTTTAGTATAATAAATAAATGCACTTCGGAGGAAAACTTTTTTAAGGGGTGGGTATTAACTTTAGGACTCGTTGAGACAAACATCTAATAGAGATGGCAGGATTTAGCTTTGGCTGGTGAGAACATAAGGTGTAATCTAGCTTTCTTTCCCAACGTTACACAAATGCATAGCAGGACATGCGAGCACATTCATAATCAGGCAGATACCATCGTAGGAGGGCAAACATGCACATGCGTAATTCACAGCACAGTCTTTCTGCATCAGTGTTATTCTCAGGATTTATACTTATAATTCCAGATTGTGGACATTGTCGGGCATCATCACTCATGATGTTCATTTCAATGGGATGGTGCCAGTTTTGTGGATACTATTATGCGGAGGGCAGCAATGACAAATTATTGGCTGGCAGCTTTCACAGACACACCTGGTACAATTACGGATAGACGGTGTTTTTCAATGTGCATAAGGGCGTTGGGATATACCCCTCATTTGTTAGTGTGATAAAGGCCGGATCAGAAGGAATAAGTATATGTATTTGTCTAATGACTTCCATTAAGGACGCATTATGTGGCTGGTGCAAGGAGAAGAGCGATGGGAAGAATTATCTTTATACATAGTGATAACCAGCAAGGGAAATTCAATTTATTTACAAAGGACTTTTTGGGTCTCGTGCCAAACAAAATGGCTCCAGCCTAATAGAAAAATGGCAAGGAAAGAAACGCTGATTCTTGCTGGCTTGCAAATATTACAACTATCCAATTGCCCACTTAAAGAGGTAATTTTGGTGCAACTTGCTGCGAAAAACACATGTACTCCATAAAGCACGGGCATTTATTTATTTGTTGCTAAAGCAGTAGTCATTTTCAATAGTTTAGACAGTTTACAAAGATCAGTCTAATCTCCAGAAGATCAGCACACTTTGACAGCCACACAAACAATTCCCCTGCTCTCAGAAGAGACTGATAAGGGCGGTCGTATATTATCTCCTCTACCTGAATGAATGACAAGCCTGATCTTCCCAGACCTGTTGAACCGCAAAAAAACTGTCTTCTCAAAATGATAAAGCTTAGGTATTCATACGTCTACTGGGGACATAAGGATCTGAAGGCAGATGGCATCGGATTCAGTATGAATCTGATCCATTTGGATGAAAACCTAGTATCAGCAAAACTGAAAGCACAGTATGAATGCTTAGAGAAATAGATATTCAGTTAGAGAATTTATTTTTTGTATTACTTATTCACAATAACCTCAAAATCAACGATATCATATGAGTGAGCGTGTTTGTGTGTGTGTGTGTGTGTGTGTGTAGGTGTGTACTAGGGGACGAGGGCTTTTGAATAATAAATTAAAATTTGATTGAGTGTCACGACTGCAAAGGGAACACAAACAGCAGTCACTCAACTAAAACCAATCACATCTAGCTGCCACCATTTGAAAATAAAAGTATCTTTGAGCACCCGCTAAGCAACAGCAAATGTGGTGTCAAAGTCATTATATTGTTATTGATCCACACGGCTCCGTAAATGGCATCCCTTAATGACTGCCTGAAATCACCAGGGAACCCAATCAGGCCCAATCAGGTGAATATTTTTTTTTCAGTAATGGATCGCTATAAACAAGATGACAGGAACACTGGCTGTATACACACTTATTATTGCATTCGGCATTTGCATGTGCACTCCGAGACTCAAGAAGCAGGGCAGCGACAGTGTGGAAAAGAAACACAAATCTCACAAACTAAATAACCACAAATAGACAAACATCTTTAACGGAAAAGTAGAAACGGAACTGAAACTAAAGGAACAAACAAACACAACACCGTAATAACACAACACAAAAATTTAACAAAGTAAAGGAAAGCCAAAGAAATTGGGTTGTATTGGGGAAAAGACTTGTTGGGAAACCAAAGAAAGAGTAAGAAACAACTGAACAAAACACAGGGGAGGCAGAAAGAAAAAAACCAACACGGCCAAAGAGATTCTGGACAAGCACAAGCATGCAAGCGCAGTTACATTCTCCCATCATGCAATAGATCCTGTTATTTCCACGTGCTGGGTTCCCATGACAACTCGTGCAAGAAAGCCTTTTGGTGCAGAAGCAATACCAAAGGATGCAAAACGAGAAAAGGCCCCACAATGCAAACATAAACGTAAATTCACAAGACCCGAGCTAATCAGGTTTGCTTTCATCATTTCTTCCTCGGTTTATAAAAGAAACATTTCTTTCATAATCATTTAGCAGTTTGGATAAACTGATTAGTATTTCTTCAAATTAGTAATGTATCGAGCTCTGTAATAGGCAAATACAGCTAAAGATTTTCAACATGTTGATTTTTTTCTTTTTTCAAATGTGGGTTAAAAAAAGTAAAAAAGAAAAAACACACCAACCTTCTCGAAGCTCTGAGGGATGTAAAGGGGTTGATGCAGAACACAATGACATGAGGAGAAGAGAAAAATAGGGGAAACACAGAGAGAGTAAAAAAAGCCACCTCAAGGTGTTTAGCTGCAGCTACATTTCCCTTTTCTTTAATCCTTTTTTTCCTCATTTTCCCTTTGTCCCTGCGATCAGTGACACCCGTCTTGAAAGTACACTTGCCTGCCCATCACCCTCCCACCCCCCTCCCTTAAATAAACTTTGAACCAAAACAATTAGATAAACCCCAGTGGCCGCAATGTCGCCTGGCAAGAAAAAAAATTGTGAGGCGCCACTGGAGTCAAATCAAGCGTACCATACTCATTATTCAGAATTTCACAAGCTCCTTATAGCCACAAGGAGAGTCTCTTATGGTGGCTGTATTTGCTTTTGTTTGAGAAGGAAACCAAATGAAGAGAAAATAAAGAAAAACTAATGAGAGATAGAAAAGAAAAAAGACACAGTTGTGGCTGAAATTAGCAGCTGCAGTTCAAGACAGTTGCACTAAATGTTGTTCGAAGCCAATTAGTAACACTGTCATTAAGTTGGCTCAATTCTCCCCGGTGCAGTGTGCAGCACGTGGAATCTTTTAGGATTGTTGCTGGTTTTGTTTCTGGAAATTGATCCCTACCACAGCTGCTAATCTCGAGTGCATTTCGCTTTGTGAACAAAACAGTCAACATCAAGTATCAGAATTGATTGACAAAAGTTAACTGAAAACAGACAAAGGTTGACACCATTGAGGCATAACAAGTGTTTTATATAGAGTGAAAGTACCTGACTAATAATGACCCTTGTGTAGGCTTTTAGAAGCATGCTGATGGAGCCAGTGTTCATGGATATCGCATGAATTGTTGGAAATGAAATCAGGGTATAGCTGTGTGTTTTTGGCCAAAGGAAAGTCTAATTATCCCAGTGACGTGTCAACAAAGTGTTCCCAATTATTGCTTTTTAACGATTCCTATAGAGCTCTTGACTGCAAAAAAAATCGACCATGCTACGTGGAAAACAAATGGATTGCTGCTTGACATTAAGCGTCACTGCATCACAGTGGAGACAGCGTGAGCCTCCAGGACGAATGCTTTTCTCCAAGAAAAGACACTCATCTTGATGAGCTATTATTCACCATATACTACTTGAAGTTGCATTTTTTTTCTTCCCTATGCTGCTACTTCACACGGTATATGATAATAGCGGTAATAATGAAAAAGCAGCTCTCTGACCCATTTTATAATGTCAGAGGAGTGAATTATTTATTGGGAACAAAGTTATTTGGTACACAGCAGAGGGAACAAACCGAGTAGATACCGAGGCATCTTTATTTAATATGCACAATATAAATAATGCATGTTGAAAATGCATCTGCTTCAATTTATCCGAGCTCCCTCAAAAGGGGATTCATTGTCATTTAGGATTAGTAGCGGTGGGAAGGCTTTTGTCTTCATTGCATGAAACTCAACGTTCTCTGTGACTGATATTTTTTCATAGCTTCACTTTGCTGGATCATACAAGCTCAAATAACTGCTGACTGCAAAAGGATTTTAAAATAATACCCCAAAGAAGAAACCGGGGAATACTATGGATTTATGCTCCAGATCACCATGAAGAAAACATAGAGGAGGTTCACTTTTTAAAATCTAGGCAATAAAACACATTTTGTTTTAATGTAATACAGTTTAGTCCCTTTTTTTTTAAATTCACCACAAGAGAGTCCTTTCACCCCCCAAAACTGGAGAAGGAGAAGGGGTTGAGATTTTGATGGGTGGGCATAAATACCTCGCCACCCAACCAAAATCAAGACTTACCGTTGCGCTCCTGTACCTGGAAAAAAAAGCTAATCAAAAAGAGGTTCCTTTCCAACTCTTTTTGGGTTCCGTTACTTTGACGGAACATTACATTATATCGGGCGCACGGTAACAAGACATACGGCTTGTTGTGCTACACATTTCCTTCCAAGCCAGTAGGGGCGGGCGTTCAAAGGAAAGAATGGAGCATAACATCATAACAGAAGAAGAACATTAGTTGGTCAATTATAGTTTAACAATTGGAAGTTTCAGTGCATTTGAAATTACATTTGTGGGCAGGCAAAATGATCAATGCTGAAAGATTGATTGTGCTCGGGTAATATTAATTAGCAAAACACCTTTTGTGCAAACACACCGTGGCTAGAATAGATGCGCTCATTGTTTGTTAAGCTCAACAGTAATGCAACTTAAAGCAGAGCTGCACAGTTCAGACATTTTAGAAAGAGATGGGTGGATTTTTCGGATTTTTTTTGGCCTGGCTTTGCGGCCGGGTTACTCCCTACCTCGCACATAAAGGTTAGCGGGGGACGAGTAGCGCACGCCTTCCACATTAGACGCCACACACTCGTACTTCCCCTGGTCGGTCTCCTCGCTGTTCTCGATCTGCAAGGCACCTGGAAAATGACAACATTGAAAAAAAAAGACATAGGGGAAGGGGAAAAGAGAGACAAGAGAGAAAGAAGGAAAGCAGGGAACACGTGATTAGTTTAAGTCAGACAATCCGCTTGATGCAAAGACCGTTAGGTCAAGAGTTTTTACTCTCTGCAATGCTAATGCAGATTACCACGGCAAACTGGGTTCCTCTCCGACCTCAGCCATCCGCACGTGTAAACACGTAGGGTTCAATGAAAAGAAATGTCGATACTGATGTTGGTATGATCAAAGGTCATGTGAAAGGAGGCTGAATATGGTCTTGGAAGTGGAGTGAGATTAACAAATTGGCCTTTTAATAGCACTCTATAAGGGAGTATCTGTGGGTGGGGGGGAATAGGGGTCATGTGGAAATAGTTCATGTCCACAGGAACACTCTCCCCAACCCTCTGAAAAGAAATAATCAAAAGAAGGAAGACAGTTAAAATGTATTTATATGAAATGCTAAACTACTTGTGTTTGTGTTATTTTTACTTGTGTACTGTGCTTTTATTGACACACTTGTCACGTGCTTTGTTACTCTTCACTGCACATATTCCATGGGCATACGCGTCGCCTCTTCGGCTTCCATGTTTCCAACCAACTCTAGTTAGTATCGCCTTTTCAGATTGGATTTCTTGCAAGCTGAATGCTCGATGCCAACACTGAAGAAGGGGAGCGGGGGGGGGGGAACCGAGGAGCGTATAGAAAGCGAGCAGGGTGGGGGGGACCGAGGGGGGAGGTGAAACAGCGGGCTTCGGATCACTCCTCGTTAGAGCGCTGTTGACGGCACTTCCTGATGATATCATTAAGGCTTCTGGCTGCCTCAGCAGACAGATTGCAACCCAGGCCTCCCTGACAAACACAGCACCATCGCTCGTTAGCGTTTAGCCAGGCAGCATCAATACGCCGGGCCGCTGCCCAGGATTCTCTGTAATCTACCATAACCCACTCCATCACATCAGCGAGCGGAGAGAACACATTGTTGTACAGAGCTACGATCCCGGAACATTGGTCTAATAACCGTGGCACAAAAGATACCATTGATCCTGCTTAATTAGAAAGATTAGTCACTTTTCCGCCTCGGCCGCAGCCTCAAACTCGATGAGGATTTCCACAGCGTGGAGTCAATGAGAAGATATCCGAAGTTACAAAAATCTCTTCATTTCCGTCAGCGTGCCATCCTCGCCCCCCCCCCAGAGGGAGCTGTTCCTGGAACATGGCTCACGGACCAAATGAAAAAACGTCTACCTGCAGAGTGCAGGTGGTGGAGTTTCTGCTCCGCGTTCATGCAAGGATCTGATTTGGATGCGTTTGATGTGTACTTGCAAAAAGCAAACGCCAGCCTGGTGGCAGGTGGCTTGGAATGTGCTCAGAAGCCTCAGCGCCTCAACACTGGGGAGACCGCAGAGTGAGGGACTGTGTGAAGTTCAACTCCAAGTGGGCCGTTCCCCCGGAGCGCTGCCAGCGACTCGTCAGACATCGCTCTCTGGGCTGAATTACAAAATCTTTGTAAAGGCTGAGGTTGACGTCTGTGCGATTGTTTCAGCGCTGAGCGGCGTGTGGGGGGGAAAAATGTGTCCCAAAAAACACCACGGCTGAAAATAATCTTTCACAAATCATCGTCTGAAGGTCAACAAAACACAACCACCGCTATGCAGTGGGTGACAGATAATGAGCCAAACTAAATTAATTGAGAGCCTATTAAAAACCAACGTGGGCTGCTGTGAATTGTACCTCGCGGCGAAAGATGAGAAGCACGAAGGAGAGAAAAATCGAGGCGTGTTTGAGGGAATGGTGGTTGGAGTTTCCTCTGTTCCTCTCAAACTTTGGTGGAGACGTCAAGCTAGGTGGCATTATCTATTGTTTCCCAGCCCATACTGGCTTCGTTACATATTCTAGCTATTATTTAGTGGGTCTGTGAAGAACACATGAAGACTCCTTCCGCTGGCAGAACAGAGAGAGACAGAGAGAGGGAAGGAGAGGAAGAACAAGCGAGGTAGGATACAAGCGAGGAGGCCATGGAGAAGAAGCAAGAAGGAGAAAGAATAAGGAGAAAGAAAGGAAGCGATGTAAAGAGGAGGATGCTTTTTTTCTCATCCATTTATCCTATTCCATCTATTATTAGTCACTCTCAATATTGGGAACTTGACTCTAACAAGAGGAGCTGGCATTACTCTCGTGGAAATTTAGGATTTACTTTTGGATTAAACTGAACAACAAATAACAACAGCCACGAAATCCTGATAAATTGAATCGCGCACACACACACACGATGAAATTCAATTTACTGGGAACCCATTTTTGATGAAGGAAGCCCAGAAGGAGAGGAACAGAAGAGGATTGGAGAGTAAAAAGAGAAATAACAACTTCCATTTTATTTTGAGGTGCTTTTCGCTACTCTCTCCGTCAGATTCACACATGGTGGGATGCAATATCCTGCTGGTGCTACATGTGTTGTGCGACAGTGTGAGTTACATATATCCTCAGTCCACTTTGTTGCCACTCTCCTCATACGTGCACCTCTAGTCTTAAGTCTTTTGAAAAATTGTTTAGATGGATCCAAATGAATGTCATTGATGATGTCCATAAGCATCCAACAACCAGGCAGTCAGGTTAAAGTCTGATAATATAAGCATTTAAAGACAACAGACCTTGAAGTTGAATAATAACGCATCCAAGCCTGCTTTGATGATCTAAAGCGGCAGCGTGTCTGTGCGTGTGTGCACACAAAACAAGCTCCGTCCTTTGTCCCCAGCATGTGGCCCTTCCTCACCGATCTTTTTTTTTGCTTTTTAAAACATGACTGCACTCTATGTGTTTTGCATAATTGTGCTCAGTCTACCCTGCTGGCTTGTGGCCATTGGCTTTTTTCTTCTTTCATCAGGAAAGGAGAAAACACAAGGAAATAAATAAATTATTGTCTCTTACAAGCACGATACAAACCACACACAAGGTCTGTTTACGCAATGTTACTGACTAACACTTGCCAATCGAAAAAGTGAGTCCTTTATGGGCTCAAAAAGGATGTCTCCCCTGTATTGAACTAAAAAGTCTTGACTCCATGACATGACTTGAAGCTGCTTGACCAATAAAAGCTCACTTTACACATCAGCAGAATAGTTTAAATGAGTCATGTGATTGTTTTAAACAGAAAAACTAAATAAAAAGCTCCAATCCAGGTGAAATGAACTCCAGTGGCAGCGACTGAGTGGCCACAACATTACTTGCTACTTCTTGCCCCCCCGATGAGCAATAATTCAGGGCAGAAACGATTGTATGCTGCACCATTAGCATCCAAACCCCGGCGACAGTCGAGGAAAATACAAGTTCTTCACTTCCATGTGGACCAATTATTCTCCCTCTCAGTCAAAGTGACCCTCCCTTCTCACACCCACACACACGGCCTCACAATCACTACTGCCAATCCGTCCCGGGCCTGTCTTGTGCGAGCATGTTCACTGCCTTCATCCTCACGATAAAGAAGGCTGTAGCGGCCGGTGCTTCTGGGACATTAGTCCCCGCCGTGACAGCCGCCCTGGTTAACAGCGCCGCATGCCGCTGGGCTGATCTGAAGAGGAGCGTTGATGTGCCAAGGTGTGAAAACAGTAAGACTGCCTGGGCAGAGTTCAACAAATACATGTGTTTGAAGGCCAACTCGGGTCCTAGAACAGACCGTCTTCTTCCAACGCTGTTTAGAGTGGATACTTTGTTCGCTCCAGTAGACTTCAGCATATTAACATGATATATATTTTTGCCAAAATTTTCAAGAGAAACTTTGATGTTTCACTTCATTTAAACTAGCATGTTATCTGCAGGTTTTCATGTCCCCTTTGTTGCAGTTGAAATATCAACAATTTCCAACACCAAGACGTGTAGAAACGTATATATCGATCTCGTTCTTGTTTTCGACGAGATTGGATAGCAGAATGATGAGAAGAGTGGGACGAAAGTGAATTCTCAGGGAAACAAACACTTACTGTGTGCGATAGAAATACTGAGAGAATAAGACAAATACATGGATTCAAAGACGAGTGGTGGGAAGAGCGAAGGAGACGGACACGCACAGAAGAACAGAGGGACGGATGAAAGGATAAAAGAACAACAAGGAGGGGCAAGCACGGATGATTCATTTCAGAAAGTGCCCGGAGCTGTGGTCCGCCCGCCCCCGTCGCTGCTTTGTAGCCGCTCTGCCATGTGTGCCCCCCAACCCCCCCCGGTCCCATTTGTGTAATTCAATTAGTGTGGCCTTGATTGATTTGTTTAGGCGATCAACAAAATGGCTGGCCAAGTCTCACTCTTTCTTTCCCTTCTTCTTGCTTCTTCCACGGCCCGCTAAGCCCTGCCGGTGGCACGCTGTCCTATTCATCACTCCGTCAGTTTGTGTCTGTCGTCTTCTCTCATTTCTCTATCTCCGTCCTCTGATCACTGCTCACTAGAGCTCTGCTACAGTTAAATTAAACACAACACGTATCAACAACTAGTCGCTGTTGTGAACAGGAAAGGGCTTCATACGCTACCTTACTCATTCCGAAGGAACTGTAAAAATACAATATATTTACACCATGACAAGTATTTATATTTGCCACCGTGAAACAACGACACAATGAGATGTTTAGAAATGCTCTTTGCAGGTGAGAATACTATGTTTGTATTCTCACGATTGCATCCCAAACATAAAGCCCAGTGGTGTCCCTCGTTTCTGGCTCGTGTATATTCACAAAAAAGATGGATTTCAGATGTGATCCAGCCGGTAATCTCTCCGTCTGTCTGTACTCTGCCACCAAGCCAAGGTCATTATACTGTGATCGCACCGGCATGGGGTCCCGCGTGTGACGCCATTGTTGTCAGCCCTCATAGGGTGGCCTGTAAAGCTCCCATGAAATCAGAAATGAAGCAGGTGGGGAGTCCAGCTATCTCTCAGGCTGTTGCTTACTGCACCTCGAGGCCAGCAGCTGGATAGTAAACCGTGGTCCACGCTTTCTCTTTCCTTCAGTTTTTCTCTTCATTCTCAATAATCTTTCTTCTTTTATTCATCCACCACTTATCTTATGTGATAAGTTATGTCTTTATCTTCATTCCACTAAAACAGTACCTACTGAAGTGGTAAATAATCTTCTGTTTACAGTGGAATCAGATTCCATCTCAGTGTTTCTGCTACGGCTGCTCATTGTAGCTTTGAACAGCATTGATCACGACGTGTACACACTTTTGAGACGTAACAATTTGTTCATACCAGTAACAAACTTCTCCCATGTTGTCACTGGTGTGAACGAACACAGTATGTTTCTGATAGTGACACCTCTGTATTTTGGCCAGCAGACTTCAGGGCCTTCTAATATGTGCCTCCTTTCTTTCACATAAGCTCGGGGCTTACATCAAACCGCCAAACTCCATTTTTGCTTTAAATCTCAGTGAGTGGTTTGTGTTTTGGTTACTTAAGGTCTTATAGCTTTTACGATGGTCCCTCCGGCAGCTCAGTCTCAATGAGTGTCTTAAGTCTGCTGAGGAGAAAACTTCCCTGCACTTTGTCTTCTGTCTCACGAGCACACGAGCGTCCGAGCTAGCTTTCCTTCTTGTTATATTATTCTTATTTCCTCCTCCTTGTCCCCTCTTTTTAGTAAGGTCTCTCTCTGTGGTGGTCCTGGGACCTCTCTCTCAGCTGACGGGGCCTCATTCCCGGTAGATTCAGCCTCTCTCTTTCTCGTAAAGGCCCATGAGGGAAATGTGTGAGCTGTCGTATTAAGCTATATGAATCAAATTGATAGTGAGTGATGTAAAATGACTCATCCTTAGGAGAAGTGACGTCTAACCTGAAGAAAAATAAAAATCTTCAGCGGTGCAAGAGCGACAGAAAGAAGAGGAAAGTGCATTAGTGTGTAAATGCACTTACGCAAACAAACCATTTGTTCCTTTCTCTGACAGCCTGATTGCATTTGCATCTCTCTCCAGATCCTATGCTATTTGTTTCGTTAGGCATTAGCACCATACAGTCCTGACTGAGAGTCAGTGTTGGCATGTGGTACCTGGGTGGGGATAAATGTCCCTTTTCAGGCAGCTTATCATCTTATTTTCCCAAGGCAGAGTTCATAAGTCATGCTTGCTGTAGTTTGACACTATGTGATTCACGACACCTTCTTATTTGTGCAACGGAGAGCAGGGAGTTCTGGGTTGAGGGATTTTAAGGAGTCAGTAGTCTAAATGCACAGGTGTTGTTGTGTCACCTATGGGTCGTATGAAGATGGTCAAAGATGGAGAACCTTGATCGTCCCATGAATTACCCCCCTTGGCTCTTACAAAGTTATAAACTGTGAATCTGAAACTAACTTTCATCAAAATAACAGAGGGACACATATGGCACCCTGAGAAATTCACTTACCTGCTCAGCCTGTGAAAGAATAGAATATTAGACTACAAACAGACGACTCAAAAATCAGCCTGAATCCAATATTGAGATATTGCTTCAGCAACAAAACCTTTTGGATAATTACAAGTTAAAGTCAACAATTCAAATAGTATTATTCATTAGCCTGGTCTCAACAAACAAGGCCATCGCCAACCCGGCAACTTCCTCTCACCTATTACCCAACCTTCGGCCTGATGTCCATGTCCAAACAATTTAAATGTCAGAGGCACAAAGCAGTAAATAATAACCGTTGGAAATCATGTATTCTAAACAGACGGCAACAGAGCTCGAATTGCTCAGTAGTTTTCTGACAGTGATGACGTGGAGGTAAAAGTACGAGGGCAGAAACACAAAACGCCCACACAGGTGGAGGAACTGCACATCAAAGGGTGTCATGGGGCATGAAGGTGTGAAACACGTATGATCCCACTCACAGACAGTGTTTACAGAGAACACAGAACCAAAACACAGATGACATATTGATGTTAGTTGATATTAAAGAGTGTCATTTTTTTAAGCGGAAACGCCCACATTAAATTCCCACTATTACGCCAGTTGGGTGGAGTTAGGAGGGGTTATGTCTGGTTTAATATGGGTTAACGTTTTTTATTTTCCCTTTTTTTTTTATTGTGTTAAACATCTTACCTCGAATCGGGGTACCCTCTGGTGGAGAGACAAAAACGAAGACACAACATCAGTTTAGTTCAATGTTAATGTTAGTAATAGTTAGAGGAGTTATTTGGGCTGGACGGTGGATCACTGGAACTAGATTATCAAACCATTAAGTAATCTCTTTTTCAGATATGGGGGATTTTTTCCATGAAAAAATAATACAAGTACACCTCTCGCTGCTGGTATCACAAAGATGTGGGGAGCTTGCCTGATTGCAAGCCAATGCCCCATTAGGTACAGTAAAATATTGAGCGTGTCTAGTCGGTGGCTGGTGGGCTTTTAAACATTGCCCAGATTTGTTGCTGTGACGTATAATGCATTCCTTACAGGTTTCTCTATTCCTCTCTGCCCTCTGGCCTATCTCTTAGTCCCTCTCTCCTAATCGAAAGATGACTCATGGCTACAGTTTGCCCTTAGTCGTCCCTCGAGACTGCCAGCAGGGCAGTGCCGAGCCTGGGGAGGCACCCTACTTAGCATAGGCGGCGGCCTGGAGTCTCAGAGCCGAGGGTCAAGGGTACGCACCACGTCTATTGGGCCTGACACTACATGCACCAATACACCGTTTTGTGTCAGTCCATGCGTTCCTGCAAGTAAACGCAACATTTACCAGCATCCTACTAACGCAACAAAACAACTGCTTTCCATCGATCCATCAGCTGCTTTTCTGAGGACAGATTGAGCTGGCGGCAAGCTAAACAAGCCGTGTTTTACAGCTTCTCCTGGGAAAAACCGAGGCGTCCAAAAGCCAGATGAGTCGTATAATCTATTGTCCTTTAAGTCTACCCTGTGGGTCCCTACCAGTCAATAAAGAAAGAGGCACAGAAAGTGGACGATCGGCTGTGCAAAGCACCTAAACTGGCTGCCTTTCAATGCAAAGAAGCTGCAGGTCTAGTCCCTTTTCATGTATTTCGCTTCGGGTCAGTCAAACCACCCGACGGAGGAAGCTCACAACAGCCGCTTGGTTCTGTAATCTCAATCTTGCTGTCAAAAGCAATAGTCATAAGTGGGGATTAAATTGAGACTGAATTGCTTCTGATGCTGTACCAATATGCTAGTGGATCTTGTCAACAATAAATCTCACGGTTGAAAAAAATAGTTATATAATCAAGCAAACCAAGCGTTTAAGATGTAAAGTGGTGCCAGTAAATTCCGTATCCTACACAGACCATTAAGAGGTGTGACTGGCTGCGCAGTGGGATGAAATTTACAATACATTTCGGTTGGATTATTGTTGCAACTCTACATACAGATACATCCTTTGTGACACCAGCAGGGAGGAGGCAATCTGAAGTTCTGCCTGGTTTTCAATGTACCTAGGTGATTATTTCTTTAATTTGAAATTGTTGTGCACCGTGTAGCACTGTGTGACGCATGTATACCAATTATTGACAATATTTTTGTTTCACTTGCAGCAATTGATGATTTGGTAATTTTAAATCATCTAATTGTATAACCTAATTTATGATTACTGATGAAAAGTGGGATTCTTAGTCTTCCATTTCTCCAAACACATGCCCAAAGGCACTAATTGGCCAAAATTATAGTTAAAAGTAATTAAAAACCAGGCAAAACAACAGTGGCATTTTTTTGTTGTCTCGGCATTGATTTTAGAGACCACATAATCATAGATAATGACAGGACAAAAGGATTAATAGGGCTCTGGGAAGGTTACATTGTCAAAGAGTTAGAGTTAGATTAGAGGCTGCAGAAGCTGTTGATTTATTTTAATTCAGCTGTGATGGCATTTTTGTTCGGGGTTAAGGGGTTACGAGGTTAGTCGAGGTTAAGGTCAGGGTTAGGTTGAGGACAGGAGGTTAATAAAGCAGGTTTATAAAGAGAGGGCCATCCAATGTGAACCCTATAAAAGGACTGAGTGACAAAAGAGGGACACAAAGAGAGGAAACTAAAAAGATGAGGGATAATAAGATAATAAAAGAGTTCAGTTGAAAGGAATTAGTTTGACATCACAAACCCAAATGAGAAAGAAATGAGTAATATAGGTCTTTGGAACTTTGAACAATTGAATGCTAGAGCAGCAATACAAATAAAACATAGTCATGGATGGGACCAGGCAGGCTTTGTCTGGAATGGCTAGTTTGTATTCAATTACATTGAAAAATCCACCTGTACTACGGCCACGTAACCATATGGCCATAAGCTCCCTTTCGAAGCTTTGGTCAGCCAGTAGTAGATCAGCTTAGGGTGACGATGACCTAAATATACCTCAGGCTACAGGCTGCCGACCTCCTCGCATTATCAAATGTGGCGTTATTTGCTCAACAGAACAATCCAGCTGTTTTGTTAAACAAACCTCTGAATATCTTAACATTATTAGTGAAAATGTAGTCTGGCCAGAGATGTTGTCCATCTGCGTGTGAGACGGGTGGGGTTGGGTGGTTGGCCCAGTGTCAAAGTCGGACTACCCTCCAGAGGGCGTCTGGCTGACCTTCTCATAGACACAGAAAGCCTGTCTGGGATGTTGGTGGTGCTGCAGCTGGTCCCATGGGAAACCTGGCAGTTGTTTGCCACATCTGCAGAGCACTTAGCCACTCCCCCTGCAGAGCAGCTTTGATGCCAAATAATCGGACAGTTGTTTTGCTCGCTTTTGATTTAAGTGCAATTGATCTCAGCGTGTTTCACGTTGGGATGTGCATACATCTGTGTGTGTAAGGGATCTATTGAATTATACGTTATGGTTTTAAACCTTTGTATCAAAGAGGACCTTCTTCACCCTGAATATGCACTCCTCCCAATCCACTCACTGTCTCTATGGCCTCTAGTTAATCTGTTCTGGCTGACAAGGCCAGTGAGGGCCTGAGGTCTGTAGCCACAGGGACTTGGTCAGAAATGTCAAACTCCCTCCACGCCTCTAGAAGAGCTCCTCAGGGGACTCTGATGCAAATACCATTGGCCTGCCCGCACAGCATGGTCTGGCCCATAAATAACAAGTCAGCCACCTAGGCAGCTATCCAAGAAACTATCCCGGGATCTTTGTTTTTTAGTATATATTTAGCATTGTCTTTTCTTTTTTGTCTCCCCTTTTCTGCTGCGTCACCTCTTCCCAAAAGTCTCAATTGTACATCCCTGTGTGGAAAAGCAGGCGTCAGAGTTTCCCCCTGAGGTTAGAGAGTGTGCCTGGGGCAAAAAAGCAAACAAGTAGTGTCCCTGGAATTGTCAAAGGCATCGGTTTCTGTTTAGTTCTGTTTTGCAATTTTTGCGAATATATTTACTATCAAAGAATTCTAAACTGAATAATAAATACGAAAACCTGAAGCCCCAAGATGGCTACTCAAACTGCTGAGGACATAAGAAGATGGCCGCCTCGGGCGCTTGTGCGTAAAGGCCCTTTTCTCATCAGCATAAATCCTGACTGGGTGCTGAATGAGCTTTCCAGTGAAAGGGCTACAGAAAAAAAAAAATGCAGGCCCGCAGCACTAACACTACTTTCATTTCCTTTTCAGCCTCCCTACATGAGAGCAGGACTATAAGTGAAATATACCGGGCTTAAGGTGGCTGGGTATATTTTTGCAACTGGTTCAAAAAGTCAGTACAAAATACAAATATGACAATATTATTTGAGCCCTCGCCCTCGAGCACAGGCAATAGTCTTAGCTACAAGTCTGTAAGCCAGAAGGGATGTGGGCCAAATTGGCAAGAGAATATACTCTAATAAAGCATCTGGCCAGGACCAGAGTGTCCACCTGGCCCAGAGACCTTCACCTGGAAAGGACTGGCATGGACTCATTCATTGTGAGAAACTAAGTCATTCACACCTGAGAATTACACTGGTTTTCCGGAGGAAAGTGTTTTCTTTATGCCTCACCAAGAAGAATAAAATTGCTGTAGGCTATGACTGCAAAGCAATAATCATCTTGGATTCAAGCGGAGTCTAATTATCTTCTAAAAGCCTGCTGTCTTGCAACGCAGCAGAGGGAAAGAATGGATGTGACAGGAGGCATAAGCAGCATAATATCTGGATAATCTTGACAGGTGAAATGTATGTAAAGCCACGGCTTTCAAGGTTACTTTGCACGAGCTACTTAGAACTTCAAATTGTCCAGTGAAGTTTTTTAAAACATTGACATGATTTTTGAACTGGATATTTTAATGCGTAATGCATATATGCCTATGCATGTTGGCATTTGCTTGAAACAGAATTTTGCCTCAAATGATTTACTGAGCATCTCTTCCCTGTATGAACAAAAGCTGTATTGCTCAAAGGTGGACTTTGATTCCCAACCACCTCCAGAACTTAGTCTGCTGCTTGTCCTTGATTTGCCTTTCTAAGTTCTATTATAAAGGGGGGGGGGGAGTGGATAAATTAAGGGGTGTGGGTAAGAGAAAAGAACAGTTTAGCAATAGAAACAGAACATCAGGAAAAAGTGGCAAAAGAGGACAAGGGGAGAGCAAGGAATGCATGCATTTTTAAGAGTAGTTTAAATATGCCATCTGCTTCAAGGAGAGTGGGTGGGCTCTCTCTAGGCTTTGCATGAAACTTACCAAAGGTTTCTGAAAATGACAATGCCAGAGAAAAGTAAATAAAAAAAGGGAAAGAACAACATAGTTTATTTTAGGTTGAGGTTGAAGTCATCGCCACGCAAGTTTTAAAAGGAACTATAGTATGATTGGGATTTGTATCCTACTGCAGAATCACAGCAGTTGTACCATGACATACCATGGAAGTCATGTAACATAACAGGGATTCTACTCAGAATTTATAGTTCTAAAAAGAGGCATTTTGGGGGGGAAATCTTATAAACCCATTATGGTGTAGATTGTAACGTTTTAAATATTTTATTGTTTTTTCAGTTTTACATATCGGTTGGTTAACTTTATTATCGCTATTATTTTTCCAATAATAATTGGGCCACTAAAACGTGTTGAAGATTCTGCGATGTGAGTTTCAGACACAAATACAGACAAAACAATCAAAGAGAGAAACAAACAAACAGCAGTTCAAATCAGTTAGAAAGGACACACAGAGACAAAATTATGAAACAGATAAAGACAGATGTGACAGAGGTTAGATAACAGACAGGAAGCTGGGTTTACTTGTCCATCATCATCCTGTCTAGTTTTCATTTGTTACTTTGTACAGTAATTGGAACCATTGGCAAGAAAAAAAGAGTGCTATATAAATAAATAAATCAAATGCCATGTGACAAAGTTAACATGTAACCCATTTTTTCTTTCTAGAAATTCAAGAAATCAATCTGTTGTTGTAGTTGACCCCGGTGGTCATTTGGCTGCTATGGACCACAGTTTTCATCAGGATGAACATCATCTGAGTGAGAGCAAACATTCCCATATACTTTACTAGCAGGTGTTATCTTCAAATCTTAATAGTCGAACAACTGCCTCAAAACTGCACACCCGTGCATTAAATATGAAACATATCTAAAATGAAAGGCGTCTTAGTGCCTGTGGACTTGCCAAGTCATAAATAATGAGTGGGCAAATTGATTATTTTGAGTGCACACCTCATGGGGGGCAGGGATGCAACAGCCTTTTCTTTTTTAATTTATATATATATAAATATATATTATGTCTACACCCATTTGTATTTGCAGCAAAAATAGGGGTCATTGCCTTTTTTGATTAGTGACAAACTCATTGACCTGAAATATCTACCACTCATTGCCTGGGGCCGTTTCCGGCCCTGCACTTAATTAGCAATATAATTAGACTTTGCTTTACTCGGCCCCTCAATGGGGTTTCATCAATGGGAAGAAGACAACCTATCGTTGTGTCAGTGGAACGTGGACCTTGCTCTCATTGTCTGTCTATGAAACACTTCTGGGTTGTTGTGAATCAGTTGACTTCATTCAGTAATGTTAGACTCTTACAACATCATCTTCATCTTCAATGATGCTGATCAAGGGTGCTCACGACACAGCGTGAGAATTAGATCTATAACGCTTGATCATTATAGTCCTAGTACAAAAGTACTACTTTTGGGCTGAATTAAATCACTTAGTGTACTGCCATGCTACTCAAAGTAGGTCAATAAACATAACATTAAAAAAGGCAAGTTTTGAGTTCCTACAGTTCTTAATGTTCCTAAACTTTACATTAGCATAACTCCATTTAAATTGTTTTTGCTAGTGTTGCATCCTAAGCAAAAAATGATATGTTTTCTAAAGTGGTGACACTTTTCTATGGAAAAGCTAAAAATGGGCTCTCAGTTTCCCTTCTTTTGAGGAATAAGTGTTAAGCTTTGAAGCCTCATTAGCTGCAAAGCAAAAAAAATCATCCATCCTGCAAATATATCCAATGCGATCTTCAAGTGAGAAAGCGGGAAAAAAGATACCATTACACTTGAGCTTTCCTTACCTGAGCGTAGCTGCTTGATTCGCCCGTTGCTTGTACTCGGGTCAATGGGCAGAAAGTCCTTGTACCAGGTGATTTCTGGGTCCGGGTTGCCACTGGCAGCGCAGAGCATGGTGGCTGTTCGAGTGCGCTCCACCACCTTGAGTTGGGGGCCCATGTCAATGTTAGGGAAGCCTGGTGGGAGCAGGTCCTCTGTGAAAAGAACAGGAACAAGGGGTCAGGGGACTGTAAGTCACATTCAAATGTGTTTCAAACAACAAGTAAGAAAAAACACACAAGTGATTTAAAAAAAATGAGTCAACAAAATACATTGTCATGCTGCACTGATTTCGAGTTTGGTTATAGCTTTTTACTTGTTAAGGGTTTGTGGCAAAATGTAGGACATGGCCACGGGGGATATATTTGACAGAATTGCTAAACATGTATTTTGTAATTCTTAAATTAGGTGTCCTATTGAAATTAAATGCAACTGTAACAATAGAAATGTTTGTGTGCCCTCTTTTATATAAGTTCAAGTAAAAACTACCAATTAGATAGGGAAACATAATAAAACCCAAGACAAAATTAATCTCAAATAGTAAGTGGTTGCACACAAACAGTATTGCATCTACTTCAGTGTACATACAATAATTTCGTATGAATTAATAAATGGGAAATTGTATTAAGAGTATTTCCCAATGCTGCCTTGAATTGGTTGTATTGCGATCATACAACCTTATTCACTAATCTCCTCTCCTCAACCACCGAGCCCAATCACGCTTTTGTAGGAAACATTTTCATTTATCTCAGGAGACATCAATGAGACGAATATACCGTAGAAATGCAAAGTTATAGTTAGCTGTGTAAAGTTGCCGGACACAAATACACAACAGGAAAAGGAACGGTTGTGCTTTCGTTGACTCTCTCTTTCTCAGGAAACAACAGAGTTTTCTGTCCATTTTGCAGCTGGATACTCACAGACCGCATTCCCAGTCTTAACTGGCTTCTCCATTAGGAACCACTTGTCTTGATCAAATGCCCTTAAGGAGACTGACTCTGGCACATATCCTCAATTTAACAAGCAGTAAATAAATGTCTCTAAATGCAAACAAGATCAGAGGAGAAAACAATAGAGTAAAAAGTAATATCGGAAGGGAAGCCTGGTGATCGCTGCAATTTCCCCATCTCGTTTCCCCACGTTCAGTGAAACAAATGACACCCCACTCAAACGGAGTTACACAAAGCTCTGCAAAACCACTATATCATTGAGTCACGCTATAAACACCAATAGCCAAGGTCTGAATATCAATTGAGAGATGTAAACAGCCAGATTCAACTCGTGCATTAAAGGTCCATGGGTTGTGAAGTGTAAGATGCAAGCCTCCTTCACCGGTGTTATTGCTACACTTACTCAACAAGCATCACACTACCCAGCAAATGCCGTGGAGTCTTTGAAGCCAATACCCATGCGTGATTGAGCAATTATTTCACTGGAAAGACACAACAGTGTAGTGTGCTCTGTGGTCACTGTTCTCCTTATGCACGCTACCCGCCTCTCTTGGGACAATTAGTCCCCTTGGGTCAAATCGCCTGACATCTAACCTGCCTGGAGTGTATATGACGAGATCCATGGGGGGGGGGGGGGGCCCTGTGCTGGAAGAAGGATCAGAAGCCCAAAGCCACAGCACAACTCGGAGAAGATTGACTGAGTAAGATGCTAGCCAGTGGCAAAGCAGAGGTCACTGTTAATCTGGGCAGCCAATGATCTCATATCCAGTCTGTAGACATTTATAGTGGTGTAGTCAAGACCTCGGGAGTATTGAATTACGTTGAACTGGGAAAGTAAGTTGAGTCAGATAAATAATCACAAAGAAAGTGTTGGTCAGTCTCCCCCCAGGGATAAAAACTTGCCAATGTTTAACCGGGAATGTATCAGTGCTATGTGGGTGGCTTGTATGTTGACGTCATATCGCGGACGCAACCATGCAAATAAGGTGGGAGCTCTGGCTACCAGTAATAAGAGGGAGGCAGACATGGTAGATTTGAACATACCATCCAGAATGCAATGATATGTGAGCAAGTAATAATGATGGATTTATGTGATAGTTATTGAAGAGTAAATGTGTATATTTTGAAGAATGTCTCATTTGAAGGTGTGCCATTTTTGCTGTATTGTAATAAAAAGGATGGCTGAATTATCTTTCACTATTTGTTTTATGTTGTCTAATCTTTTATTCTTCAGTAACCAAGATAAAAAAATTGATGTGAGTTGTGAATTCATTTGTGGTTTTGAAATATTGAATCCTGGAAAACAAAAGACAACCAGATGTTCTAAAAAAACTAACTTAGATTCCATCAGCAGAACACAGTGGATATTTCACTTCGAGGTTCAAAGAGGTACATGCGTTCACACTGTTTAATATTCCATGCTGTGTCCTCTCCATGATGTTTTATGATCACCCCTGCATAATCTCTTTCCAACAACTTCCCCTGAAGCATAGAAAATCAATGACAAGCCTACGCTTCACTTTACAAACCTTAGAACAAGACAGAACGATATGTTCTCAATAACTCCCTCTTCTGTGCGTCATTACTGAGAAATGTATAAGATGCTGTAAAAGGTTTTTTGCTCCAACGGCCTGCACTGTGAGTGTGACATCTGATGTATCCGACGGACCTTTCTGTGCTTTGCATCAAATTGATGCCGCCTTTGTGGTGTAAGAACAGCAGACCACTGTAATGAAGTTGAAGACATACACAGTAAGTAGATCCAAAGGCAAATTAAATTAAGCAATTGAGAAAAGGAATCTGCCTGAAGGGCAGAAAAGGGCAGGTAAACAAGGAAAGCAACCAAAAACAGCAGCGAGCAAGAGGCTGGGATGGAGGATTCATGGAGCTATGATACCATCACTACAGCTGTTATGACCTGATAGAGCACCAGCAGCCATTCCTGAATAAATGGCATGTATGCTGGTTACTTACTAGCCCAGGAATAGAATCTGATACCCGCCCCCATCCCCCCGTCCTCCATGGAGCTCACGAGTTTGTGTCGATAAAGGCGGCCGTGCAAAAGTAAATAGATCAGGGAGAGTCACGTCAGGGTTAGCCATCTTAACTGTGGAGGAGCAGTGACAACCAATGACATGATCCGATACTATCCTTGAATTCTCCATTTCTATAATATGTACTGTGGGTTCTCTGCGATGAACAATCTTCAAAGGACAAATAGAATTGAGGAGCGTGCCAAATTGGTCAATGTTAGCATTGCTGTTTATTTTTTGCCAGAAGCCGGCTTTGTCACTCATGCCAACAAAAGTCCTACAACAGAGCCATGCGACACATGCTGAGGTTACACCTTGCAGTGTGCCAAGACTTCTCAAAGGTAATCAAAGGGATGTTTTATTTTTGTTTTAGACCAACACACTCAATATAAAAAAAAAAAGCTAAAATAATGAATAAAGAAAAGACAATTTGATTAAGTGTCATCTAGATACCATCTTTCCAACACTGCTGTGATGTAAAGCACTTAGGGAGCAATGACAGCCAATGAAGTGCAACGACATTTCCTTGTTAATCAAATGAAAAACTATTGAAATGAAAACATTTTTACAGACTATTTAACTATTATAACAGATTTGGACGAGTTGTATAGATCTCAATACATATATCATTTAAAGAAAGATATTAAATCTTGTAATGGGAAGAAGCAAGCCCTTCATGTCCACTTCCTTCAACAGCTGGCTTGCTCAGCACGACTCTAAAGCTAAACCTACAGGCTCCAGTTGACCTTTTCTAGATTTTGAATCGTGTCATTCTCTTTTTCGGGTTGGTCTGAGTGCAATCATTATCCATAATTGCCTTTAACTGCGCTTCACCATTTAATACCATTACAAGTGACAGGTGCAAAGCCTTTAATCAGCCGCTGGTTAGAATAGCCACTACCCGACTGTTAATCTGCCGACTAAGGCCTGCTGTCGCATTCTGTTTTCTATCATGCTAATTGTGGCCCTCTTAAAAACGTCCATTAGACTCATTTAACTCTCTTTCCTAATCCTCTTCCAAGTGAATTACTACAATCAAACACAAAAATATATGTCTGGAATAGTAACAACTGTATGTAGATAAAAGGGAGCTTTGTGATTAAATACCACATTAACTGGGCACTTTCACTTTTACCAACTAATCTAATTTTACCAAGTCTATGGTCTTTTACCAAGACTACAAAGCACACTGAGGAATGGTGAAAATGTAACGTTTGACCTTGGAACTCATATTGCTGGGTTTTACCCAGCAGCATAATTAACTATTCCCCATCTGTTGCAAAAATGCAATGTGATAGTGAGTGACAACTTGTATTCACTGCTATGCTATGCATGCCCAACTCATTCTCTACTGAATGAGCACTTAACCGGAGCACCTTTCCTACACCCACGGACCGACGCAGAAGAATAACATCTCCAACTTTTGTAAAGCCCATCTTGCTATGTATGGATGCCACTTAACATCCTTCATTTTATGTGAATGATACGTGGAGTATGAGAGAGAGAGAGAGAGAGAGAGGGGGTAAACCCTGACTCGGTGGCACTGCAGCAAATGCATCGGGGTGCTCCCCCCCCCCCGCCCCCCCACACCATTACTCATATTATTATTTTCACTTACTGAAATGATTTAATTTCATCAGCAGCGTAATCAGGTTAACTGATTACCCAGAGCCACAGCACAGAGACAGGCTTTAAGCAGGTCTGTGCATTGATACCACAGAGGGACCGCTGGGTCCGGGAGAGAGCAAAAGAAGACAGAGGTTAAGATTGGAAGAGAGAGAGCGAGAGAGAGAGAGAGGAGGTGATAAATGTAGTGGGAGAGGATGAAGAATACTAATGGTCGCTCTCTTTCTCACACATGACTGTTGTGTTTAACTAATCGACCGTCCCAGCCGCTGGCTAAAGAGATCATAGATTAGATCTGTAGTAAAGTGGGGAACAACTGTGTTTTCTAGAATACAGTTGGTCATGAAGGGTCTATGCATGTACATAAAGCAAATTTTACGTTTAATATACTTGCTGGACACATTTAGAGACATGTATGTGGCATGAAGGTGGTTGGGGGATCAGCAAAGACACCGACATTTTAATAGTTTTAGTCAGAGGAAATGTTTCCAAACTACCTGCAATACCACGTCCGTTCAAGAAGAAATACTTTATTCCGTATGTTGT